GTTAGGAAATCACGGGCTTTGAGCCTTTAAAACCTTTAGTCATCTTCATAGTTAGCGAATTATAGAGGATATTTGTTGTACTTTGAGAAACGTATAGTATTTTACAAGTATTTGCAGAGGACAGAGAATGGAACGCTCGTTCCAGAGTGAAACTAAAAGGTATGATCTTTGATATAGCTACGGAGAGGTTCGAAGTAAACTATGTTATGTAAATAACTTTGTCAATTGTAGACGCCACGCGAGTCTTCTCACTAAGGCTCGTGGTAAGACAGGTAAAATAGACTTTCTATAGAGGTTCTATAGTTTTGTTTTTCTTTCATCGCCGTTCGACAGCGACGTAGCTTAGCTATCTGTTAATGTATTTCATTCCCTCGAACTGTGAGTTCGTCGTGTGTTTGATTTTGTTATATGAGCCAAGAAATTGGCCATGTTGCTGAGAGCAACATCATTGTACTACTATTTTCTTTACTGTGTGTCCAAAACCTGAATGTCCAAGACATCATCACTGAAATTATACAAAATTAAAGAGAATTTTTAGGAGAAAAAGTGGTGTGGCTTTCCAGAATTATCTTCCAAGGTCCATGCAATGGAAAAATACATCGCCGCAAGCGGTAATGGTAATATCACATGCAGACGTATTTTTCGTTCATAGTAACTAAATATGAAATCTGGGTTATTTGGTTTGGTCGACATAGGTCAAGATATCTCTTGCCTTATAAATAACAGAAACAAGTCAGTCATTTCTGGTCGTATTACCCGCCTTTATCGAAACGGTTAAGCCGAATTTATTGGACTTCTTTTCACGCCGATAAAAATATTCCACGTCGACTGAACGAGCTATTTGGAAGCATAATTAGACATCCCAGAAACTATTTCACGTTGCATTAACATGAGCGCAGGCTCTCGGCTTGTCCAAGGACCTACTCTCATTATTTCGAATTTAACTGGATTAAATAGCCGCTCTGTGCGCGGAGAAAACAACCGATAGGCGTGGAACCTGTCCTATCGTTTTCCAAAACGAAAAGTGCTCAGTGTAAACAAGCTCTTGTTTTCAAAAATATTTAGGCGGTTAAACAATGCTAGCTCCGGTAATAAGTCTGGTTCAAATTTATCGGTAAATTGTGCTGATCTTTTTGTGCGTGTCTGTTGGTCGATTTGTAACTCAGTTTCTGTAACTAGCGAGGCCAATTTTCTGTGCAGGGGCTTATTTTGAGTGTTATGTTTTCATCTTGGTATTTTGTCCGTGTTTCAGCTCCAAGTGACAAATAGACACAAAGCTATTGCCTATGGCTTTCTCTAAAGTTAATATCAGTTGGCGAACTGTCAACCTGAGTAAGAAAAGAATAAGCTTTACATCACCAGAGGTGACTTGTACTATTGGCGAAGGTCGGGAGAGTTTGGTGGCGTAATCTTTTGAGTAGCAGTATTTATATTACGATAGCCCTTGTGCACAAAAGGAAAACGGAAAACTCACCGCAAGAGAGCGACCTACGTAAATAATTGCTTTGACACGGAAATGCCCTACTCACATCTCTTGATATTTATTTTATTGGTGTACAGAAGCTTGGGAAGTTACAACTAGATTATGAGGTCAAAGCATGTAGTTGTATTATCGATATCCTACAGTGTTTTTGTCGATTAAAAATGACCTCTACTTCGAGAAGACGGATTCTTGGACATATTTGTTTTCACATAAGCTAATGCAGAGGTCGGATTTTTCCTTTCTCACAAGAAAATCTTAATCTTCACCGCTTGTCAACCGACTTTGTATCCGCAGATTTTGCGTTCTTGGCTATATTCGCGTCAAGTCCTAAAACTCGGACGTGAGTCGCGTATTTGCACAGAATCATCAACTGTCCGTCGATCGTTAACTTTGAAGACAGAATGCAATTCACTGTTACACATCAAAAGTGACCTTTGAGTTAAAGACTTGTTAAACATCACACCAAGAAACTACAAAATTAACCTCCTGAACCTCGCAAGTTCGCCATTGATGAACTATAATAGACAACTACCCTGGCTGTATAGGGCTCGCTTTTTCGTACTGAAAGAGCCACTGGTTGGTTTGATGTATACGTGGCTAAAGGCGGAATTTTTTTAAAAGCTCCGCTGTTGTGGATTGTATTAATCTTCTCAGACACCAGATAAACACTCTTCCTTTTGTACAGATCTCAGTGATCTCAGTTTTTATTCAAAATAAAGAGCAATGTTTACTCTCTGCCACTTTTGCGTAATAACTTGCCACTCACAGAGTCCAAGCCGCGACTTGAATAAGCTGGGAAAACGACCTAGTAAAACACTATTTGTTTTAAGTTTTATTAAATTTTTTGCACACTTCCTGCTCTTAAATCTCTCTTTTAATATTGTTACAGCCGTTTGGAATCGCCCCAGCTTTGCATGTCGCGTGATGGCGTGATCTTTCTTCTGTTAGTTTAATTTTTTTTGCGGGATTTTGACTTTGTAACAATACACGCTATTTCCAGTAGAGCACACGCTGTAATCACATTACTGCTTCGCAATTATCGACCTATCGACCCCTGGTATATCTTTTCCTTATTGGTTTCTCCCCGTTTGAAGTACCTAGCTTTTATGTGGAAACAGAGATTCTAAAAAAAAGCTGTGCGTGATTCATCGCGTGAAAAAAGGCTTTGGAAAGCCATTTAAAAGTTTGCGTGCTAGACGGATTTTGTCGTGTACTCATAAAATTCAACAATGTCTGCCTCGTATGTATATTAGCTAAAAGCAATTTTGCTCGATTGTTTGAGTGTCTGTTCTTTGAATTTCTCATTGTCGTAGCTTTATGTAATTTTTTTCAGTCTCACTAAAATTTTGTCTCATTTTTGAAGTGGAAGTTTTTTATTAAAGGAAGGATTGCAATTTTACTGCTTGAATTTCGAATGGATTTATTTTGTGAACTGAAAACTAACTTCCTCGTGGCAATTTCAGCTGATGGCAAAAGGAAATGGATCAATTTCCATTCCAGCTGTATGTCAACAGTCTTCTGCATAAACGCACCACTGAATCTACGTTATTCTCGATCCTACTAAAAATCGCCCCGAGAAATATTCCATCCGCGTTTTAATATTGGTAAACGAATGGAGGGAAGTAGACAGAGATAACAATAATCCACAACATGTCTTAACCCTGCTCCTTTCGGAGAACCTCGAAACAATTGCCCTCGATGTTTTTATTATAGCAATCTATTGTCGGCATTAACCTTTTTGTGTCAGGTGCTCAGGAAAGCTTCGCTTCGAAGCTGTTGGACATACAACAAGATGCAAAAGAGAAGACAGGCAGCAAGTTTGCGTGTTCTTTTAGTGCTGATTATTGTTGAATTCCAGTCATTATACACAATTTGTAGATGGTAGCGTTGATTACACGGCCAAGGTGCTTTGTATTTTGACGTGCTTGCTTTATGTTATGACTATTCACCTTTAAAAAACTCGACCTTGAAAGCTCTACGCCTGATACTGTCGCCGATTTTCGCCCCCTTAACGAGCTCTGATAGACTTTACAAGGCCTGTTATTTATTTCTCTTTGAGAGCAAGTGGGATTAAAAGGAATTAAAACGTTCGTGTGACTCGATGTTATCCACACGGGCTACTAATTAACATTCTTAACCTCAGGCAAACTCTATTGAGATGGATTCATTATGTCTATGCCAAACAGCCTAGTGAAAATTGTTACACATTATCCGCACGCAAAACTATACATGTTTTCTTTAATGGCTGCATTCAAAATTCATTTTATCTGCTCCTAGATTAAGTTGAAACCACAACAAGTCTTACAGCATTACAATGGCGGTCACTCAGGTTAACCTTTTAGACAAATACTCAAGCCTGTCTGAGATATTTGTTTTCTTCTCATTGACCTAGTTTATCGCTTGCTTTCGTAAACTTTCATCAATGCTTCCTTTGCCACTGATAGAGTTACGACAAGTATTGCGTAATAAGCGGCAGATCTTCAGCCAAACGCGGTACTGTTTCTCTTATAATCTTCTCAGAGCTTCCGTCGCCCACTGATCTATTTATAAATTACTTTAGCTGTATCTTTTGGTTGAGTGGGTCTTTCTCGGAAAATGCACTCGCTCGTGAAATTGAACTTGTGCCCGGCTTTGAGGGCCGTTTTCCGAAGCAAATAAAAATTTAACAACAAAACTATTTTGGTTCTTTTCTGGAAGGTCGCTTACGTTACTGTTCTGCGTGCTTGAGTTATAGCAATTAAAACCACAGACAGGTAATATTGACATCCATCATATTCGAATAAATAGACTAGGAACTGCAATTTCAAACCGCCGCCAGAGAGGCGTTGTTTTACCAATTTCCCGGTCCGTTAGAAAATTAAAAGAAACATGGGGGTAGATGATCAAGTCCTAATGACAACAAACGGTTCTCTTGACTCACTTTTTTTGTAGCTTTGTTGCCTTCGTGTTCTATATATTTAATAGCTTTCTGTCATTGAATCAGGATATAATTTATTCAAGTCCTCCACTTGTCCGTTCTAAAATAGTTGCGCATTTTAAACGTGACAAAAAGTCGAATATTTATTCAGCTTTCAACATAAACAACAGTAGGGAGGAAAATTCGCTTCACGCAGTGATTTTGAGTTTCACGTTTTTAAGCTCCTGCACTTTAGATTGCGTAAAGAAGTGCAGGTGAACTACAGTTTAAGTATACATTTTCAAAGCTTAAACTGACTAAAATACCACACAGTCCACTCTGTTTTTTTACTTTTAAATCAAGGTTTGCCAAAGCAGCCACAGAAATTCACCCCAGTGAACATACTCAAGGACTTGCAATCACTTTTCACATTGACTCGTAAGAATTTCATTGCAATTGAAATAAAATGTTGACCAGTTTTCTCAAGGGCGAAGGGGCGAGAATGGACTCAACTAAAATTTAGAGAGATTTTGTAGAAAATTTAGCATTTTCCATTGGATAGGATCAGAACTGATTTTAATCAAAACAGCTGTTTCGAAATAAATGAAAATGACTGAGAGCATTAGAGGGTGTTCTGTAGTTTACAGTGGTAAATACAGTTTTAATCATTAAGTAGCATTCTAACTGATTATAACCTCGCAAGGACGTGTGAGATAGCTGAAAATTCTACAAAGTTTTTCGAGCTAATAACACCTTGCTTCCGAATCTCTTCTTTCCAGACTTCTGATTGTTATTTGACAGTTCAGTGGCCCCAGTGCGTCACCTGCAAAAACGAAACATACAAACGTCAATTTTTCTCAGTCTGAAGTTGTCTCAGTTCTCCACTGTGACTTAGAGAGACTATGTAAAGCCAGAAAAGTTTGTAAGCAGGATATCACGTCTTCGTATTTTACTAGGCTAGCATGGGTCAACATGACTGAAGTTGAAAAAGTCTGGCTCATATTAGTTAATTTGGACGTCTTGTAAATCGGTTTTGAAGGTAATTTTTTTGTTCCTGATCTATCGCGAGGCTGATACAGTAAAGCTGAAGGTAAAATCAGTGGAACGACAGACTAGAACATCGGGTGTTTCAAAACAGACAATGATTCCTGAGGCAATATTCGCATGAGACCTATCTGAGACATTTTTGCACGTGTCATACTCTTTTGTACTGAATGCTGGAGTTTTTAGCGGATTCAAGGCTTTCAGGACAAATAGATTTCGACCACTGCCGTTTATTTCCAATGACAACACCATTTAGAATGGTGGTGTAAACTGTAATATTTACGACGCAGACGAGCGGACAACCCGAATCGTTCTGATCAAACTGCAGCTGAAAGGCCCTAGTAGCAAAATAATGCAGTGAATTTGTAGTTGCGGTTACCTCCTTTGTTCAAACTCTCTTGGGCGCGTTGTAATTAATTTCCGCTGAAAACATGTCTTTGAAATAACGACAAAACAAAAAGAAACACGCGATGACAAATTGTTCATTCTCAACGCCCTCCTCCAATTCAGCGAGAAATCCCGGGCATTAGTGTGATTAAAAATGGACCTAATAAGTCATCGAGCACCGTAAGTCTCTAAATTTCAAGTTTAAACTCTTGAAAATAAGAGAAAATACAGCACAATGAATCTGTACTGATCAACTGTGTCTATTTTTTGCTAAAACGCTACAAAATCGCTCTAAGAAATTTAGACAGCTCCGGACTGGTGCTATCCAAATCTCAGTTTTATGTACCCTGACAAAATAATTTTTGAATTAAACTTGGAGGATCGAACGGTCTCATGCCAATAGATGTCTAGAAGTTTTTCTCCAGCTCCTATAATTCTTAACCTTGAAAGTTCAAAAACTTTGAACCTGGAACAGCAAAACGAACAACTCATCAAAGAAAACCACTATTTATATTGCAATTCACATCACAAGGAGACTGGTGATGCATTAATGACGATTCTTATGCCCCTCAGTGGACCAAGCTGTATGTAAAAGTCGGCTTCCGCCTTACTGTAAAACCCATTAAACAACGACATGAAGAACTATATGAAGCCTTCCAAATTACAGCATGTATTTTTCTGCCAAGAATGATTCAACCTCATTTACTGAGATATTCAACTACATTAACTTTATTGTCATTGGAATTAAAGAGCTTTTTGTCTTTAAAGGATTTTTTCTGGGTTACTGTCTGAAATATGTGCTAATGACCCACCTTGGATATCAGTATCTTGGCAGTATTTCTGGGATTGGAGTCGAGCAGGGATTTCTTGACCGTCTGGAGATGTGCTGGATTGAATGTTAGATTTTGCAATAGTCTATGTTTAGCAACAGATTTATATAGATTTTTGAAAATTCTTTAAGAATTAGGGCTTATATCTCTTCAATCAGTTTGAGAAGGCTCTCTATTATCAACAGAGGGTTAAAATGGTACAGTTTATTACAATACAGTCAAGCTAAAAAAAAAAAGGAAAAAATTTGCAATTCAATCACATCTCAGAAAAAGTGTCAGTTTCGTAGTATTAATTTCACCAGAGCTATCACTTGCAGCTAGGACTTATCGCGATGTCGTGAAAAGGTCAAGAGTATTTTACTCAGTGGAACCAACAAGCACGAAAATCTTGCAATCCTTGTTTTTAACCCTTAGCCTCTAAATTTTGGCCCAAAGATTCAAGGTCTGTCAATTCAAGTTAATCAGTAGTTCTTGGTGGCATTTGTAGAAAACCACCCCGAAAATTCCTTGTCAATGTCCCCAAGGGTGTTGAATAAATAAGATCATATCTCATATCTGTCAACAAAGCAAGTGATTAAATTAAATCAAAAAACATTGCTGGAATTTTTCTTGTAATGCTGAAGTTGTAACTTTTGCCTATTGCCTCCCACATACAGCTAAAGTACAGCTAAATTGAGATTCCAAAATTTGCTTGAAAGTTCTGGAGCTCGCGGGTGTTAATTCATCACGGAGTTACATCTGAAGCGCATGCTACTTTTTATACAACATTGGGGAAAACAAAAAAAATACAGAGTTAATGAATGTTATGCCCGCATTTGTTCATTGCTAAAAACCCAAGGTCACCGACTACAGTCGCACAATCATATGACAAAAGCATTTTATAAGATTATGAACTTTGCTAAAATTTCATTATATCCTCCAACACAATTTGGGAATCTGCATTCTTTTATATAGGAAATTAATGTCTTACGGTAAGCAGGAAATATTACCTTAGGGTTTATCTTCTTAGATGTCTTAGTAGGTAGGTTTATCGGTCATTTGAATCCTTAAGCATACAAATGTAAAACCATTTGTTTAACTAGAGTCAATTGACTGCTCAAGCAAGTTCGATCCTTCATTTTTTCTTTCATTTATCCATTCATCCATTTTTTCAGTTGGCCAGTAGGTCGGCAAACCAGTACGTGGTCGGTTCTTGGTCAGCCAGCTGTCAGTCACTCTATCAATCAGCCACTCAGTCAGTCTGTCAGTCAGTCAGTCAGTCAGTCAGTCAGTCAGTCAGTCAGACAATCCTCCAGTCGATCAGTTAGTCAGCCAATCCGTCAATGAGTGAGTGAGTGAGTTTGCTGGTGAGTAAGCGAGTCAGTGGGTAGGTGAGTGAGCGACTAAGTCATTCAGTCCGTAAGTCAGTCAGCCAATCACTAATAATAAGTCAGCCAGTCAGTCAGTCGGTCAGCCAATCAGTCAGTCAGCCATTCAGTCAGTCAGTGAGTCAGTCAGTAAGTCAGTTAGTCAGTTAGTAAGTCATTCAGTTAGTCACTCAGACAATTACTCAGTCATTAAGACAGTCAGCAAGTAAGTCATTTAGTTAGTCAGTAAGACGATAGTTCAGTCAGTCAATCCGTCAAACATTAACTCAGTGGACCAGTCAGTCCAGTCAGCCACTTAATCAGTCAGTCAGACAATCAGTCACTCAATCAGTCAGTCAACCAGTCAGACAGTCAGTCGCTGTGTGCGAAGACTCCCTGGAAAAAGCATCCAGTCAAAGCTATGTCAGACCTTATCAGGATCGGAATTAATCTTGATAAATTGACCAAGGAGGCAGATAGAAAATTCAGTAGCAAGAAAAAAGTCACACTCATGGAAATCTAATATAACAAGAGGGTAAACATTTACTCGATGCATCCAATATATTAAGTTTCATCAGTCCGACCCCCATCTCGTTAGTACTCATACCTCCAACCGAGTGGCAGACGTGCGAATTAGTTTCGCACCCTGATAAGCAACCTTGTTACGTCATCATCGAGCTCCTTGTGACCTTGATTCCTTAGCGATCCTGAAACCTTCGCTAATATCAGCTTTTATTTGGAATAAAGATTATAGGCGCCACATGGTCCAATATTATTTGTATAGCAACTTGTAAGGTCAGCTTGTGTCGCACTCATAAACCTCTATTTAGTTTTCAAGTCTCTTTTGCGTGCTGAAGCTTAAAAGAGAACGGGTGGAAAAGATAATCCTTCGCTTTGCGGTTTTACCTTTCAGTGAAGTACACAGTTTAGCGGTTTACTATCATTTGTTGTCTTCACTTGGTGCTGGATACTTTAAACGATTCTGTGAATCTAAGGCTGAAAAGGATGTACACTTTCGCCTTTTACGAACACTTTTTATAACTGCAATTGGAGACCATGAAAGATCAACAATGAGGTAGATGATAAATGGATTTGCAGCTCATTCTGCTTTAAATGGATGATAATACGCATTCCTTTGCAGTTGGTAGCGATTAACAATAACCGGAAAGTTTAATTAAAAGCTAGTTGACTTCTTAAGCCTCTCAATGTTGAAAAACGCCCGGCCTTGAATGATGTATCGATCACTTGAGCCGCAGTGGGTTAAGCCGTCACGGAATTAAGATATATGCTCAAATGTATGGCATTTTTGTTCCTAATATGGGCTGCGTATTTTTTTTCCACTCGTTTCTCTATAAGGGCTATCGTAAACATGGTATCAAATGATATTTTACAGTACTGCCCCACACACCAGACGTTCGTTGCTAAAACAAAAACTTTAATGAAATTTGTCTATAATTTGTCTCACTCTTTCCTAATCGGAGATTAATTGAAAATTTCGGGAATCTTCGCAGAGAGATAATTAAGAATGGACGAAGCGTTTTCAATAGGAATGTTTCTTTTTAGTCGTAAATTGAGAAATATTAAATATATCTAATGCCCTACAATATAAAACGAACCAACATCACTGAAAACATTTGGGACAAAAATAGCAAATTACCGTTCATTTATAGTAACACGAAGGGTCATTGAGATTGATTTCTGAAGACAAGAATATGACACAGTGATAAATCATTATTTTTGTGTTAGGACAAGGGAACCAGTCGAGCGAAGCCTCGAGCATTCAGTCTAAGTTTAACAAAGGCCTCTGTGTTACCAATGGCTGACCAGTGCACCTCAGAGAGTACCGTTTGCAAGCTCTACAAGATTAACGTTTCATAACAACAAAGAGACAGCGAATATATTGAAATAAGTATGTGGAGTGAAAAGTCAATTGCACGCAGCTCATAAATTGAAAATAATTATTTGGATATGGATTATAAACAAAAGTTGCGTCGGACATGTAACAACAGACGGTCGGGTCATTAATATAGTTCTGCTCTTCAAAATCTCTCAAATACTGTCCACATAGACGTGGTATTTCTTATCACTGGATATAGTAATTAACTGCTGGAACCACCTAGAGCTGGGCAAAGAACGAAAAATCTGTCGAATTTTGAAAATAAAATATTATCATTTCTGAATGCTGTATAACTTTGTTTGAAAGGTCACGCTCTATATGAGCATAATATAGTTTTTCTTTTTTATTTCATGTGTGTTTGCAAAAAGCGAGCTAACTCGATAATGATCACAAGAAATAAAAGTTTCCGTATTAGAGGAGTTTTAAATTAGGCCATAATAAGCGTAAGCCCTTAAGATTAACACTGAACTCTGGCCGACTCCTTAAAGAGATAAAGCACTTCATTAATTCAAGGCTTGTCCATGCGCTAGACTTTATTTCCCACCAAAGCCAAGGGTACTATTTGTATGGCATTTACCACACACGGTAGTATGTATCTCAGTGAAAAAGCTTCCCTTCCTTATGGAAAAGATCGAGCACAGGGCTTTGGATCTTTAAAACTCAGTGAAAGATGAAACAGCCATGCATAACTGTCAACAGTGCTTCATGAAAATTCTGCTCACCAGTTGAAATGTTCTGCCTGCAGCGGTTCACATGCATACTACTTTGCTTAACATTGTCATTCCCCAAACAATTCTGTTTCTTAAAAATTAACTTTTTTTCGCGTGCTCTTAGCCCATTTACTTTGAGACACTATAACAACATCACCATAGAGTTATAGCATACCGGGTTAGCATGTAATACTCTTTCAAGTTCAGTCTCAATATCTCTCGACTGCAAAGCTCTACTTCACTCACTTATGCTTTTTATAAAACATACTTTTAGCTCCGATGTTTACTCATAGAAAATCCAAGATTTGAAAAGAAGTTATTTACTGTCAACGAAGCTATTTACTGTCATTTCGTCCGCCATTTTTCTACCGAGAGCATCTTAAAAAAACAATTTCATAATGTTGCTTTATGTCAGATTTTTATTTTAGATGAAAGTATCCATTAAAGAGTTGTTTGAGTTATCAAACTTGGTAATATGACCGTAACTTCTGTGGATGCTATTTAGTTTTAATTTAATTTATCAATGTTCAGGCTTGAAAAGAAAGCCTCCCTAAAAAAATATCTCAAGACAGTATTTACTGAAAACATCATCAGGGCAAATCGCAAGAGTCTGTGCTCTGTGGCTTGATTTGCCAGGCTATAACTTTTGTACCTTTAAAGATTATCTGCATCTAACTTGCTGCCTTGAATGGCTATACAAAATTTGATCGTTAGAATAAACAAGTATTGAACATGACTAGCTCAGGTGAAGCTTACAACTTTGATGACACTAACATGTAGTCTCTTGATTCGAGTATCCTTCTGTTCTCTGAAGAAATATGTTGCCTTTTTATATGATATATCAAGCAATTAAACTGAGAGCTCTTTACTAAGTTTTTAAAATCCTGGAAAATAATACAACTGAAACTTTAAATTGTGAAATTTTACATGGCAAAGGCTTGCGCTTTGGCATCGTCACAAGTCTTTCAGCAAGACTGAGATCATGCTTTATAAACTTCCTGTCCTGTGTCAAAGGTTTTCGAATCGTAAGGTTCGCTGATTCGAAAGAAAAACATTCGATTAATTTGTTATCATCTTGTTTAAATTGAATAAAACTAAAACAAATTTTTTGAGGGGTCAATCGGTTGTTTATTGGAAGGGGTTGTCGTGACTTTGTGTGCAATCTACATGAGATAGAGAATCAGAGTCGATCCACGTGTTTGCTTTCGTTGCTTCAGGTGAAGGACAAATGGAAAGCCCTACTCTTTGAAATCATTCCTTGCTTTAAATTCTTTTAAAGTAAACATCAAATCTCTTTTTTATAATCTTAAACCCCGTCAAAGACAGCAAACTAAAGGCAGGAATAAACTACATCAACATTGTTTTTCATTTCGAGCAATGAGGTAGAAGTATTAGGGTTCACAAAACATTCTTCTTCGGCTCACTAATCAGTGAATTTCTTGCCATTGTTATTTCTACTACTTAATATTTTTCCAATAGCTTACTTTGATCACTTCTCTTATTGCTGAGGGGAAAATACTGGAAACTGCAGTATATGTAGTAGAACATGACATCACTGCATGTTCGATAAGGCGCCGAAGACCTACAGTGTGAACAATTTTTATTTATTAAAATCGCAAGTATAGGAAAGTCATATGGATTCATTTCCTTACTCTTAATTTCAGCACTAACAGTAACAACTTCAGAGGCAAATGAGAAGTTTGACTGAATCGCTATTTTAAACTGAGTAGGTTCTAGTTCAGTTGGATAACAACGAATTGCGTAACAGAATTATTTAGTCAAACAGCAATTTATATGGCCAATGAGACTTTAGAAAAGAGCGATAAAAACGCATCGAGTCGAGCGAGTGTTGTGATATGAGAGCATGAGCACCTGCAGAAAAATATCAGAACGAAAATTTTTTACAAAAATACTTCGAAGCAAGAGCATCGAGAGGCTGACCAATTAATTTAGTCAAATTACGTCAAAACATTTTGCTTTAGGGAACTTTCTACCGCTTTGATCTTTCAGTTATGCTAAAAATTCTGCCATTCTACAAAGCAGTCTCTCTAAATTTAAAGCTAATACACGTCAATCGGTACTTGAAGTCTTTTTGCTCGATAGATCAGTGAATATTTTTAATGTCCTCAACGTTTGATCCTGCGGGAGATACAAGATTGAATTACCTTTCCATGCTAAGAGACCCTTCACAAGAAATATCGTCGGGTGAGGGATCATTTTCCTTCCACGAAACTAGACACCTGGCCACTTGTTAATCCAGTCGCTGTTCTATTTAATGCGGTTTTACCTGTTTTCAATTTTTCAGTGAGTTATCATGTACTCGAAGCAATGAACAATTGCGGTTTCGTTCCCGCGCGCCGCGCCACGCATGTCTAAGTTGAAATTGCTAATGCTTCGATTTATGTGAAGTTTAATCCAATTTGCTTTAGTCGTTGTACGATTCAGCTAAACTTTGATGCTACAGAAACATTTCTCAGACTATGACTCTAATCGGCGTTGGATATTTGTTAGGGAGTTACGTCGAAACAAGTGCTATTATCTCATGAAAATTTAACAAAGACAATAAGAGATTCAAACCTTTCTGATCTCAGTGGACCGACAACCTTGACTCTTCTGTTGCACGTGTTTGTCGCATATGTCAAACGATTTGGATTGTTAGGAAGTTTTACATCGGATAAAAGATATGGTTTCGTTAATTTGCTCGACTGTTCATGGTTGTCAATGAAATTTGCTTAAAATTTAAGGTCGATTTTCCTTTCAGATGAAAAAGTTCAAGGGTCTTAGACACTCGTCTGGGTCAAAAACAAACTGTTGGGTTGTTTGAGTATTTTATTACAGATGAGATTTATTCCTGGTATCCTTTCTGAACAAACGCTTAAAATAATTTCACGTGTAATAGACAAAAGCTCGGAAAGACCATTGTTTGATTTTTCTGTTACGTAAGTTAAGAATGGGCAGATCTGCGATAAGGTGGCCATTAAGAAATCCCATGATACCACACGGGGTCAAATTTCGTCTGCTAACGTGGAGGATGAATCATACTAAAGTTGAATAACTCATTGGATAATGTCTCGATAGTGCCTTTGCTGTTTTTCGTGTGGAGATGTGGTTGATTTAAGTCAGATTTTGAAGACTTTCATTAATGGATAATACAAGAATACCATTACATGATGTAATACACCTGGTAAAACCTCTCAAAATCAGCTCGGTCTGAATTTAACCTAACAGCAAGACGCCATATTTATCATTGAAGAAATACTCTTTATTTATGGTTTCTAGAAAATTTCAATGCATTGATGGCAACAGTCATCTTTATTTTTTTAATCTGGCAAAATCTCAAGAGTTGGAAAGGCTTTGTGATTCATTTCGTTGGATGATCCCTAAAAAATATTTGAGATAAGTTTCTTTGAGGAGAATGCCAAGAGAGACAGTTTTGAAACGTTTATTTTTCATTAGGGAATTGTTAAAATGAAGTCATATTTCATAACCACGAATCTTAAACTCGTCAAATGATCGTGGTATGTAGTTCGTGTAACTAAACGTAACTACGGGAACCTTCTCGATCCTCTAGTACTTGAGATTTTTTCCGGGATAATGGCTGTTGGCCAAAATATACAGTAATAAGAGTTAAAAGGGATTTATGAGAAAAAAAATCCTGTAAATATGACAACCTTTTTGTTTATGTAAGAAACAAATTTTTTTGAGGCGGAATTATGCAATAGTCTGTGTTTCCATAATCTTGTTATCAATTAGAAAGAACCATTGTTTTAAATCTAAACCTACAGACGCGTCGGCTGTTAGCCTTTGCCTCCAAACCCTTGAGGGTCTTACAATTTTGGGAATGGGAGACGTGGAGGGGAGGGGGGGGGATTTGGCTCAAAGATTAGCGGATTTCTTCTATTTGTGATTATGTAAGGTTGTCTTAAATGTCTTATGAGTACAAATTTCCATTTTTTCTTGGCAAATCAGGTGGTTAGATCCCCCCCCCCGCCCCTTCGACGCCCTTGCCTGTGTTACACTTTTCAGTACGGAAACTTGAGTGGAGAGCGCCTGTCCCTGGGAAAATGTCCCATGAAGGGTTAAGATAAATAAAAACATGATTAAATTAACCTGTCGGGTAATTGTCTGAAGTGGTGCAATGGAATACCCACAGATAACAAGGATCCACTTATCAAGAATTCTACAGTTTGTTAATTAAAGTGAACAACCAAAGAATTGTTCGGTGACAACGCTTCAAGAAGGCTGATACACTTTTCTTTTATGAAATGCCTTGCTCTGAAAGAAGTCCGCGAGCAATTTGTATCCACATCGGTTTTACCAGATGCTAAGCCACCCGAACTTACTGATTAGTCACGGATTGATAAAGTCATATCTAATGGTGCACCTCAGCGGGCTCTTGTCTCAATGTACATCAAAGACTATTATTTCCTACGTTGACATTTCGGCTGAACAGATGGCTTTAATTGAATTAATCTATCTTGTATGGAGAAGTCAGCCTCAGAAACGTCACAAAGGGAAAAAAGGCGGTTGAGCTGCTTTTCAATCTCTAGCTCTTAGTCTCCCTCTTGCACGTCTTAGGCAAAGCACGCAATGATACCTGGGGTATCAGAGAAATATGGCCGAAGGAACTATTACAGGTTCGAGCGCAGCTGCTAAGCCGCCGGGTATGAGGGCTGTTATGATCGGTTCTACTGGAGCCATCGGAGAACATTTGCTGGGAGAACTTTTGAGCTCTAAGGTTCGCTTCTGCGAGAATAATCCCTTTCAAACGATATTATATCGTGATATTTTTAGAATTTACTTCACAACTATTTGATCATGGCGTGACCCATTTATGTAATAAATGAACAATAATTTATTTTTAGTAACCTTACACTGTGTATGTTCATAAGTTTAAAAATACCGTTATTGCTATTTGTTTTAACATTTTTCTTTTGCTATAATGCAATCTTTGAGCTCTCAGTGCAAGAAAATTTTTATTTTATTTTTATTTTCGAATATTTAGAAGTCTAATCGTTGGTAATCCCAATCTTTGAATAAGTCGATTTAATTTCAGAATGTATTTTGAATGCTTTAAAATCACGGAAGAAAAATGATAGGCTGAACATTTATTGTCATTTCTTTGTTTGCCTTTTTTGTTGTTGAATGCAGTTGTGCAACAGGCAAAGTAATTTTAAAATATTATTGATTAAAGATATTTATTTAATTTGTAAACTCGGCAGGCTATCATTGAAAAGTTTATTTCAAATAACTATGGGAGAGTTTGATTTGATTTTATAACCTTTTAAAAGAGTTGGCAGCAACATGTACATGTACTGATAATCATGTGATAAATTAAAAACCATGTATATTGTGTATTTTAAAAATTGCTTGATTATAAACAATTTCAGAATATATCCAAAGTTGTTTCTTTGGGCCGGAGAAATGCCACAGTCCCTGCAGAATATTCTGTGGATCAAAAAGCTGAAGAGGAATCTGGAAGACTGGAGCAACATGTCATAGGTAAAATATATTCTAAAATCACATATTTTAATATTTTTCATGTTAGAAATTCAAGCACTGTTGTTATTGAATGGTTCTCAAAGTTGTTATTTTTTATATCGCATGCCAACCTGAAACAAATTGTCTCTCTGTAACTTCAGACTTTGAGAAATTAAGCACTGAAACAGTTGGTGAACATTTTAAGGACAAAGATGTCTTCTTTTGTACTCTGGGCACAACTCGACGAGCTGCAGGATCTGCTGTAAGTATTCTGGGTTATGGTCTCATATCTAGTGGATGAAATATACTGGTACCTCTTTCTAACTAAGTTCAAGTTTGTATTGTAAGTTACAGACCAAGTTTTTTCTGCTCTGATTTTATGGCCCATCCATGAAGGGCACAGACCTTTAATTCCTTGCATAAAAAACAACGTAGCATAATTTGTGGTATGGATCAAGAAAATGAGGTTAGTACGATATTTATTATATCTCTGGGGCCATTCTGGGGAATTTAGGGACCATAAAGTGAATTGGCTGTGACCAATTACTATCCATGTACAAACTCTGAGATATAATAAGTGCATTTGACAAGGTGAAAAATCAATATGAGCCTGTCATCGAATAGAGAGAAATTTCAGAAAAATTTTCAAACTATGACCAACCTGTAGGTTGGAGAGATTAATCTGTGTCACATGCAGAAAAAGTCCTATTCTACAGATTATGTTAGTTGGAAGTTCCCAATCATTCCTCCGGTCAATTATCTTAATGAAGTAACTTAAATTATTTAACTTATAGAAAGGTTTCTTTTTCTTTATTTATACTTATAGGCTGCCTTTAAACATGTGGACTTTGACTATGTGGTTAACTGTGCAAAAATTGCTAAAGAGGCAGATGTCCCTCAGGTGTCCTTAGTATCTTCTCAAGGTGCATCAGCTTCAAGTTCTTTCCTCTACCTGAAAACAAAAGGCCAGGTATGTTTTTGATAACTGTTGTCTTCTCCTGAGATATTCACTTCTTCACCTCACTCTGTCATGCATACAAAAATAAATCAGAAGAGAACCTGAATTGACACCACCCAAGCACTACAAACTTCCTTTGTTAATCTGTGCAATAACAGTAACATTTGGGCCAGAGTGATCACTGTTTTTTGAAACTGTTTTCAGGTGGAGAATGCATTGAAGGACATGCAATTTCCAAACACAAGCATTTTTAGACCTGGCTTTCTTGACCGAGGGAGCAAACAGAGATTTGTAGAGAAGATGGCAAGTAAGTGAGCAGGTTATATTCAACTTGGGTTACTTTCATCTGCACTACCCCTTAACCATGGAGAATGGAGGAAATGATCACCAACTAAAGAAGCTCTTGATTGTTGGTCAAATTCTCCTTGTAAGCACTGTAAGAAATGTATGGAAAACAGTATGAAGAATATGCATTCTGATGTTAGGGTGTAAAGAGTTAAATGAGTGCTGCTTCACTGTGAGCAATACCTGATGAAACTGTGTGGGTAACCTGACAGGCAATACACTGAGGCATTCCATGCAAGGAGTAGCAATACTCTTCATCATCATTGTCATTTTTGTGTCCATTCCTAATGGGGAGAATGGGGCCACAGGACTACTCTTAGTCACCTCAATCCACAAAGGCTAGATGCCCTGCAGCTCCATAGGTCTCTTGGCTCATCAGCCTACTAAGGCCTTGTTCTCGCGTTTTTTGTCCTTTGTACTCTTTGTCCTTTGTACTCCTAACCCTTTAACTCTCAGAATTGATTAACATTTAACTTCTCCCATTAATATCCACACATTATCCAGCAAACAGGTAATGAGATTTAATCAAACTTATCAGGCAGAAGTTGTTACCTTAATCTAATCTTATTGCTCACATCTGATTTACAAGGAAATGTGTAGCAGTTAAAAAGGAGAGTTCATGATTAGATTTGGGAGTAATAGGGTTAAAGAATTTGACCCTGATTTCATCTCTTATCCCAACAATGATTGTTTTCTTCTGTTATTAGAACTGGTGATGACATCCATACCTGTGACAACAGTTGCTAAAGCAATGGTAACAGATGCAGAAAATTATATGAAAAGCAAAGAGAGTGGTGGTGATCCGCAAAGCACACCTTCATCTGTCACTTACGAAAATGCAGAAATATTAGCCCTTTTGTCAGCGAATTGAAGGGAACTTCTTAAGTAATTCAAGAATTTACTGCTGCACAGCTTTTACTTTCAATAACAATTGTCTTGTAAACAATGAAAATATTTGGATAATTACATTTTGTCAGGTCAGAGATATTGGCATCTAATTTCTCATTATTCATGAGAATTAAGGAAACAATCACCAACTGAAGAGGCTCTCGATTGTTGTACTAGTGCCTTAGGAAATGTATATAGAACAGCATTAAAAAAATATGCACATTGATGTTAAAGAATAACAGTCAGGTCCAAAAATGAGACTTGTCAGCATTGCATCAGAAAACCAAAGGATATTTATAGAACTTCATTGTGAGCCTTCTTTCTGATTATCAGTAAATATACAAGTCTGGAGAAAAAGCTTATCTTGAGATAGTTAATAATTCAACTGCATCAACTGCGGTTGAAAACAGATATCATTGTTTTCTTATTATTTTTATTATTAAATTGAGTGTGTCTTTGACAATAATTTTGACACAGCATAGAAAGACAAAAACCAACAACAACAACTAATGGGAACACATACAGTTTCTCAACAAACTTCATCTTTATTATGTGCACTAAAAATTATATATTTACAGCAACTGTCGAGAAGAACTCTACATTCATATTTATATTATCTTATCCATACTTTTCTGAGGGAACTGATTAAAGTGGATATTTCTAAATATTTTCATCAGTTCTAAGTTGTGTGTGTATTTGAAACAACTGGTACTACGCATGGCAACAGATAATAAAGATATACAGTATGTTTTCATGTCACAAATAGCACATGCAGGAGGGAATGTACAGTTTATAGTGCACACAAGAACTGCTTCATCCATATATTTTGCAAAGGTAAGTGAACTCACCACTACTCTGCAGTTTAACACAGTTAAACTTCTACCTCAAAACATTTTGTTCTATAAAAATTTATCTGAACTGATGCATGATATCAATCCTGCTTCAGTACCAATAAACAGAAAATTCCTTTCTTGACATACACTGGATCATTCCAAAGGAAAAATTTCTGAAGTAGTTATTGGCACCTACAGAGGTCTTTCCATATTTAAGTCTACACAAAGCCATTTTCCTCTTTACAATTCTATCATTTCTAATAACAATTTTTTTAATTTCAAAACAATGAGTTGTTTCTCACTAGCACTGCAGTTACTTCAGTGGATTCATCTTAAATAAAATACAATGCATGCCACATGCACAGTACATGTATATCAAGGGGACAGCCATCTCTATTCATTTTAATAAATAAAATATATCAAAGTGGGTTTAAAGAGTATCAGTCAGAATATTTGAAATAGAATTTCAAGAGGTGTGTTGAGTCAAACCCAAATCACTCTCTGTTACAAAAGTCCATAACTCAGCCTAAAAAAGCAGAAAACTGATGTTATTCTCCATCTTTCTGGGATGACAAGCGCATGCAAACCATGAAGTTTCTGCCTCAGTTATGGACATTCTCTGCATGTCAATAAAAGACAAATTAAATGTATGATGTGTTGGAATCTTGACAAAAATTATATTTTGGGACAGCATCTGCTATTCTTTCATCAGTTTGGGGTAATGTATCTGCCTCCTCCTTAATCACTACTGAATGGCCAACTCCAGGTACTTCCCTCCGAATTGAATAAATATTAGGTACAGGACAATCCATCGACCCACTCCACATTTTATTGCAAATTTTCCTATTCCTGTGCATCCATCCATAATTATATTGTTTCGCTTTCAACTTGTTTCTGAACCTTCTGATAAAACACGCTATCCAGTTGCCGTTGTCTTAACCATACTGCAGACGATGAAACTATTAACATGACAAACACAATGCCCTACAGATAGATCAGAACAGTAACATTCACATAAAGAGAATCAATGTTGCAACAAATTGCTTAATTTTTCGCTAAAGAATTGGATCACTGGAACGTGAATTTTAGGTACACTTGTTAATGCAAGCAGCATTTAGTTATCTATGCCATAATCTCTTTGCTTATGTGGAATGCAAATTGGTTACCCCATGCCAACATTCTCAAATTTCACAAGTTGTGAGACATGACCTTACACAGGTTCATTGATTATTATCTACAAAATAATAAAAAATTGTTTCCAAAAGTAAGCAACTATTAACATCTCTAGTCCTGGCCCCAAATGAAAGTGAAATAATTTCACTGAATGAATGTGACTGTATTCTTATCACTGAGTTTGAGATATCCATGTAAAATTTATTGAAAAGCAACTAAAAACCGTGTTTATGATGTGTATGTGAAATACTGCTGGAGCCATTACCTGAAACATCCAGAATTTTTTTTCCTCCCATTGTGCAATATGTCTACAGCTAAAGAAAAAAAAGATGGTTTGTTGAGTTCTTCCACCAGAAAACCTGCTACTCTTCAATGGTTTCAAACCCACCTTCCATAGAATTTTATATTAGAGGTAACACAGTATGTAAGTTGTATATTCCCAGTTTGTAGACAGCCTTTAATGCTTTTCTGTGGAAAGAAAAGAGACGAACAGACACATTTTACAAGTTTCCCATATTGCAAGTTGGTACTGTAAGGCTCCAGGTCATTCTCTCTCTGTCGTACTAAAAATAAGTTTGTTTTATATACAAATTATACAATTACAAAGACTAGAAGAACAATGATATTGCTTAAGCATCATAATGATTAAAACTAGCTATTTAAAAATTTAGATAATAAATATTTCTTCAAATTAAACTTGAATAAGCTTACACTGGGACTAGACTGGATATTAGAAGGAACAGTGTTACTGACTCCTGCTTCACGATGTATGAAGGACTGTTGAGCAAGTGAGGTGCAGCATTTGGGTAAGCTTAAGCTGTCTTTGTTCCTAGTGTTATATCTATGCACCTTAGAAAGCTCAGTTTAATACTGGGGAGCTAAGTTATTCCTGATTTTAAACATTGTAGCCACCCTGATGAAGAGAAGGTCAGGTATGGGAAGAAGCTTATTATAAGCTGTTTCATCATTGGAGTAAAATGATCAAACTTCCTTTTGCTGCATATGAGACAGCCCACAAAGTTTTACACTTGTTGCAATTTATCAATGTTTAATTGTTCCTGACCATACTGTAGAACAATTACGGTTAATTACGGTTAATAAAGTTGATTAATCAAAAAGGTGCTTTATCCTACTTACCACTAGATAAGAAGATTATATGTGACTTTTGTTTTAGTTTTTAAAATCTCTCAGTTACATAGGTTATCATGATTGGTAAATTTAGCAATTGATATCGCACAGTATGATCTGCTAACCTCAAAAGTTTGTTTGCATTAAAATCTTCCAACTTGACCCAGAGATAATAAATATGTTTCTAACCATGTTTTCTTGGTCTGTACTTAACCCTTTAACTCCCAGAAATGATTCACATTGTAACTTCTCCCCTAAATGTCCATGCATTATCCAACAAACAGGTAATAAGAATAAACAAAATAATCAGGCAGATCTTATCTTGATCTAACACCAAATTCTAATAACTAATTGACAAGGTAATGTGCAGTACCAAGAGGGAAGAATTAGCAATCAGATCTTGGAGGTTGAAGGGTTAAGTTACAAAATTTTTTTTCTGCTCGTATTTATGGCCCATGTGCTTCCTACTTGGGCTGTAAACCTGAGTGGAAAAAACTTGGTCCATGACTTACAGTACAGACATTGACCTAGGTAAGTACAGGTAAAGGGTATGTATATAGAGATTGTTTTACTCTTTATTTTGGGTTATGATTAATGACTAAAAAGATTTATCAAGGGTTTTTTTGGGATATGATCAATGACTAGAAACTTCTTGTCAGCTTTCTTTTGAGTATTTATTAATTCTTCAGTTTTATTGTTAAAAAAAAATGTTTCCTTTCCCCTGAGGGGTGCAAAGAATGTAAAGGACATAGCAAAGAAAGAGTGGGTCAGAGAAACAAGTTAAGTATTCCACCATGAACATGAGAACCATCTAAAGGAATATTTTGACCAAATTTGCCAATCACAGCTGTGAAATCCCACCCAATCATAGCTGAACAGACAGTTGATAAGTTGAGGCAAATTTATTCCATCTTATTGTTTAAAGAAAACTCCCATCATGCATAATGTCACAATGTCATAATGTTATGATCCACATCTTAAGTGACTACATTATGAGACAAATGATTTTAATTCACATGTTCAGCATATTCACCACAATGAACAGTACTGTAGAGAAGTTGTTGGTTACTGATGGCATAGACCTTGGGCATTGCAAAAGATTTACCTTCTCATAATCACTGCAATGAACACATTCAGCAAGCCTTTGAGTTTCCTCAGTCTTCCCACAGTCTGAATTTGGAATCATCTTTGCATTCTCTGCACACAACAAGGAGAGAACAATATGTCAACATGTTGTTTCAGCTCTCATAAAAAATAAACAAGTTCCGAATCATTCTTAAAGAAATTTATGTTTTTGTAGAGAGTAATGTGGGTCACTAATTCTGTCATTAAGAAATGCGCAATTATTACTGTGATTAAGCATAATAAATTAAACTGGATTATAAAAGCATTTAGATCAGCTCTTACTTATAATCTAGCAGAGGACAGACTTATAAATAGCATCAACAATATCAACTTTTGCCTCTTTATTATATAAAACATATATTCCATGTAGCGGAGCAACTTCAGAATACACTGCAACTCATTTACATGTCATTGAATAAGAATAACGTCTATTGTGTTACGCCTCGATCTTCAAAGCCTCCCGACACATGTAAGTGAGGTGGACCAGAGTTGCGGGGTATTCTGAAGTTTAGCCCATGTAGCTATGTGTCTGTTTTGTTGTATATACCGTAGATCACTGAAGACCTCAAAATGTGGGCTAAACTTCAGAATACCCCGCAACTTTGGTCCGCCTCACTTACATGTGTCGGGAGGCTTTGAAGATCGTGGCATAACACAATAGACGCTAGTCTTATTCAATGACATGTAAATGAGTTGCGGGGTATTCTGAAGTTTCTCCAAAATGTGCTACAAACATCAATGTTCTTGCCACACTTGAAACTATTACTATAATTACAGTAACTATGAACCATCGATTGACAGACGCATGGAAACAAAAAATGTACATTATTTGTTAGTACATAGAATAGAATGTTGACACGTCAACGTTTGCACATGTTTGCTTGAGAATTAAAATGGCGAAGTAAACTTGCTGGACCCACATTCGCATTTATCACTTCAACATCTACCGCTAAGTTAAATATTATTTTGAAAATTTCCTCGAGTAATTTTTTGGCACGCGAATACAGTTTAATGTAAAGTGAATAAAAAACTACGAATATGTCAATTCGTATCATCCAACCGACAGAACTTACCCACAGAACTTGTGTTTATAGTTTCTGGACCAGCTGAAGTGGATACCTTATCGATAACAATGGATTTTCTCTGATTTTCTTGTGCTTTACCACGTTTGGACCTTTTCCTGAACTGTATGCTACGGCGGCAAGGGAAACTCGAATACGTATTCAAAACTAATTTTTAATTTTTGAACATAACCCTCCATAGCTTACCTGAAATTTGCTACAAGCAGTAAAACTACAAGGCTAAATCCTACAGCAGCCAGCCGCCATTGCTTCATTTTCGTTACCTCGGTTTTATGCATGACCATGTGGTATCCAGACCCCCATTTGCTATTTTTTCCCATGATGTAACTTCTTCCACGTTGGATGAAATGTATGTACCATTTTGCTGTGGCTCGTAAACTACAAAAATACCGAATTTACTTGAATAAGCGCCCACGCTCTAATAAGCACCCTCCCCCAAATAAGCTTCCACCCCCAAGACCAAAATTTCAAACAAGCGCCCCTTCGAATAATCTAATTGCCTTAGGATCAAAAGTATCGCTTTCTGTCGAAAGCTGATAGTCGACTCCAAAAATGAACACAAATATAGGAAGAGGTAAGGCTCCTAACATCAGATCAGCAAAGGGCCATGCTTATAACTAGAGAGAAACCTTTTTTCCGAAGTGTTTTTATATATGTGTGGGATTGTCTTTGTGATGTGGAGACGTAAGGACAACAAAAACGAATTTCAAGAGATCACGGATGCAACTTTTCATGTTGCCTTACTAATAGATTACTGAAGCAAGCGGTAAATTAAGTAGCATTTCAAGAACTGAAATACATGGGTCAAGCATAATATGAGGTTTCAGTAGCGCTGTTTCCAAAAAATATCCAGATATTTGTGGAATGGCCAAATTGAACGCTCGTTTGATCAAATAAAATCTATTTCCTGCAGCCGCACTGCCGTCGAGTGGCGTTTATAAATGTATGTAGACCTCAAATCGGACAGATCATAATGCTGGCCGAAAACTGATAATTTTAGGACGACATTTTTTTAAATGGTATCATATTATACTAATATAACTTGAGACAGGTGAGACTAAATCTTCATGCGGAGTCATTTTCAGACTTGAAAGTGTAATTATTTTTAGTGGTTAAAAGGCCAAGGCGTGACGTGAAATCTGTCAAACGATATAAAGGTTGTATATAATAAAAAGGTGGGCACAAAATTGATCGATATGAACGATTAAGTAGCACATGAATAAGGACCGATGAACGCATTTTATGTCCACGACATATGTTTAATCATGTCATTTTCCTGCTAAACAATTCATAGTATCGAAGAACAGCTGGATTTATAATGGTGGAGTAAGACTGACAGCTGAGGACAACTTGCGTCAGAGGGATCATGGCAAGTCAGTCCATTGTGAATGTCTCCTTTTAAAATTATATGCGCTTAATTTTTGGGTCATCTTGATGGATATAAAATATTGGGCGTCTCGAGTGTATTATCTCTTAATTTCCCTATATCCACATCGATCTTAGAGGTGACGGGAAGTTCTTGTCACTTATGTCTTCCTCAAAACCAGCAACTCACCCATTTTGCATTTTTCCTGTAAACAATAAACTCGTATGTCGTTTTTCTCTAAGTCAGTATAATGTTAAACTCAGGTACCTTTTTTGGCGCCCAATTTTTCCCGAATACTGTTATGCAGCTTAATTGCAAATATGTTAATTCTGTCAGACGCTGTGCTGTTTCATCATTGGAATCATAATTTAAATTCAAATTTTCATTTTTTGTGTCTTTTCTGTATCACCACGTTCAATCGTTAAGGATCCAGTTGATTCCAGTTCATATCTGAACGAGTATTAATTAATTTTTTCAAGGCAGGATATCATACTCAGATTCGTAAAAAACAATCTTTATTATGCCAGAATCACATTCAGACCTTATTTGCATACACAATCAACGCAATAAAAATCATAATAAAGGGTACTATCGCAACATCAAAGTGGAAAACTCTCTTTACAAATTACTGATCTACCGCTCTCACTTATCTTTGATTCTCCGCTTGTTTTTCTTTTCCAGCTGGTTAAAGTCGAGTATCTATGTAACATCCTGCTCTAGCACCAGTCGACGAAGACTCCTTAAATTAGAATCGCTTGGTAACATTCTTAGCTCTGTTGTCGTCGTCAAAACCGCTTTCCCGCAATTTCCTCCCTCAGGTCGGTCCGTGATTATGCCTGTTACCCGCCCGGTGCGACATAAACGAAGGGCTTTGTTAAACTCAAAAATTCTGACTGCATACACAGCTGGATTGACAAAAGAGTGGAATAACTTAAACTATTCACCATCAAATAAAAATTCCAAGGTATTGATCCGATCTCAACTACATATTTAAAAAAAATTACAAATTTTTAAAGGAAGCCAGCATATTAACGTCAAACCGGAAACAAACAGCAAAGTATTTGTGAAACTTTTACTTCGAGGGTCTCTGTTTTGCTGTTGTGAACCGACTCTTCCGTTTTGAAATTTTCCCCAAATACCAATGTTGCACTGAAAAACATATGATCATTGTGAGACTAAAAAAGATGACTGATGCATACATATAATGTTTAACTGAGGCCAGATACGTTAACTTGATATATATAGTGGATACTAAAGTTGCTAATATCCAAAATGTAAAAATGATGATGCAGTACGTGCTCATCGATAATTTCCTGTAACAAAACGGCCGGTATGTTGCGTAGAATCTTTCTCAGGATATAAAGACTGCAGAGAGTAACGAAGCATACGTGAAAAGGGTGTCAACGGATTTGAAAAATATCTCAAGAGACGAGGAAATGTATGTTACAGTCCAAAGCCCGGGATTGTTCAGTCCAAGATACTAAATGAAAATGGGCAGACTCAAAGCTCTTAGCATCAAATCCGCAAACGTTATGTAGATGACTAGAATTAAACCTTTTTTATGCAATGTCCTGTTGACTGCGCAGAGAACAAGAACGAGCGAGTTTCCTGAAACAATTAACAGATGCCAACACAGAAGCGCTGCACAAAGTGATGCCCTCTGCCTTAGAAGACATTATTCTTGATGATCCAGACGTATTTGTCAGACTTGTGTAAAAAACGAAAAATGAAAGCAAGTGGTATTTCAAAGACGAAGATCGCAAAGTTTTATTAACGAAGCAGAATGATAACGCTTTACGTGAGTGTTCCTCACTAACAGCTAAGTAATTTACACAATAACAGTAGTATATATGTCGGTTCCTTTTCCTTTATTTCATTGTTATTGGTGGAAGTTTACTTCAGTCTATTGAAAGGAAGCATTGTGACCATATTTTATAGTTTAAGGTATCTACATCTGTTTCGTTATTATTTGGTTACGCAAGAATGATAAAGGAAATGTGTGTGTTTTAGGCCAGTTTTTACATGAAAAAAGTGCCAAATGCTTGAGTAAGTGAAAGAGAGAAAAAGAATAAATTCACAGATCCGATTGATATCGAAAAATTGTGTCGAATTATCCAGTGATAATATGTACCAGAAATATCCACATTCGCAATTATGTGTATCGTACCAAAATTCAATTGTTTTTGGCCGCTCTCATGCCATTAGCTTAAGTAATGTATGTCTGGTATGGTTAATTGGTATTATTCCGTGGGTAAAATAAGTTTGTCTAGTTCGGTTCATTTGTATCGCTGATGTCATGAATAGGTCATTTAAATTGTAAGGTGTCACTTACTGTTGAAAACTCTCGAGAAGAGTTTGCAAACCAGCTTTCCAAAGACAATGGTTAAAGGTCATTTGCCGTGTTGCTCTCGCTTTGCTCTGATCAGATTCTTATTGAAAAGTGTTTGAAATATGACAGAGGACTTTGTATAAACATCAGTTTACTAAACCAATTTTTCGTTGCATTTCTTTGTCGTCCCGTTTCTGCGGTTTTGTTGCTGGTGGCTATCTTTTTTGATTAAAGTTTGGTCTCCTTATCCTCCTGTTCAAGAAGCCCTTGAAAATGACTGGCAGCGGTTTGTAATATTCTTGGCTCTGTCACTTGTCTTCCTTTTCTAGTTCGTTCCAGTTTCATGGCTGCATTTCTCTTTTGCCGCAGCTTAATTGAACTAAGCGCTTGTTTAAATTCAGGGATTCTTAGTACATAGATAACTGGATTTACAAAAGAATTGGAATAATTTAGAATGTTTGCCATTAAGTAAAACCTCAACGATATTGCATCGTCATATAAAACCATTAAAATGTTCATGACAAGGAAAGGAAGCCAACATATTAAAGTAAGAGTAGATATAAACACCAAGGTTTTTGTAAAACGTTTTCTTTGCGAGTCTCTGTTTTTTTGTTGTGAAGCGGCACTTGCGTGTTGGAATTGTCTCCATATACCGACGTTACAAACGCATATGATGATCATTAGAGTTAGAGTAAAGGGAACTGCCACGTAAATTGCATATTCTACTGATTGTAGCTCTTTTAACACGATCAGTAATGTTGCCACTAAGACAGCCAGTATCCATAGCATGAAAATGGTGATGCTGTATGTATTCGTTGACAATGTTCGGTGTTTAAGCGGCTGATACGTGGCGTAAAATCTCTCACAGGATATAAAGGTTGCAGAAAGCAAGGAGGCGAACACAAACAGGGTATCAGCGATTAAGTGGAAAAACGTGGCGGCCTTGTAATCAAAAACATAATTAAATGTCCAAAGCGGATACAGCGTGGCTCCTACAATGTATGTGTAAATAGGAAGAGTCAAACCTCCAAGCATCAAATCTGCAAACGTCATGTTGATGATAAGAAAGAAACTTTTCTTCCTAAGTGCTTTGGTACGGACACAGAGGACAAGAGAAAGCAAGTTTCCCGCGACGATCAGAACAGACGTCAAAAAGAAGGCGCTGCAAAACACGATACCTTCTGCCTTGGAAAACGAAGTGTTGCTCATTTTCTTGGCGTAAGAAAAAAAGTTATGCAGAGGTCTGCAATCAACGGAATTTTAAAAAAGAAAGCGAGGTGATCCAAAGAAAACGAGCGCAGGTCTGCCAACACTGAGTACTAACATCGTAAGTGGCAGTACATTTTCTGAAGAAGATAAGCACTGTGCAGGTGACAAGATGTCACAATTTCATTGGTGGAGAGAACTAACTTAAAGTCAAATATGAAACTGAAAGGCGTAGTTTTTATTCTGTATTTCACGGAAAATTTGATCGCTTTTAATTGAAATTTGCTGCCTTCATATTCCAAATTCATTATACTTCTTCTCACTTTAGTTAATAGTCGGACAAAAAAAAAATTCTTTTTAAAGAAATGTTTTATATACGACTCATATATCTGACGGTCTGTCGCTTTAAAGTCGAATGATGCTCAATGAAACAGTTGATCCATTTGATCCCCTCATAGTTCACCAATAGAAACTGAGCACTTCTCAATATTGACTTTATACAATATCTTGATTCATCCCTATCCACTTCCTACAAGTAACACAAGGTGGAGTGTTGTGAGTCCGGTTCTTGTAAACTGATTGGTCAGTTGAACCATTATGCTATGGGCTATAATACTCAACCGGCGTAAATGGATAAAGGGGGTAAGTCTCTAAAGAAACTGTGGTGCTGCGTCGGATGGGAGAGTGTAACAGGATAATTTAGTATTTTAAACTGAATTGATAACGTAAATTGGCCGCCGTTGAGAGTTTAAAAGCTAACGTTTCGAGCATTAGCCTTTCGTCTGAACGAATGTGAGTCAAGAGAATGTAAATCGGTCGTTTTTGTTTAGTTTCGATCGGTCGGTAACATTAGGGCGTTACGTTTGGTTCTTATGTGGTGTAAATTTCGTGACTGAATAAGTTGTTGTATGCTGCCGGTAGTTATTGACACCTGTTGGGGAGTGTCTGTTTTAAGTTAGTATACCCTAGCTTTTCATAGTCATTCGTTGACAAGAGTTGGTGCTGTAGGTTAGGCAATACGCAATGTCCCAGTCAATAGCGTGGTTTGCAAGTAGACGATGCTCAGCTCTTCTACCAGGAAGTATTCTGTTACTTAGCTTCAACGCTGATTAAGTTCTCTTGTCCCATATGGTTAAAGTTTAGTGTCCATAGCTTCTTGTTCAAATGCTTCTTGAAGGCGAATAGCAGTGTTTCGTATTATATCTCACTCTGCCTTCGAGACAAAACTGTAAGAGCACAATTCACTGTTTCAGGTCGTTTCGTGTTCGCGGATTTTTCCCTCCTAGTGCAGCACATGATAAGCGCGCGTTTAAACTCAGAAATTCTAAATTCATACGCAACTGGATTGACAAAAGAGTTCGAGAAATTAGGAACATCAACAACATTAGAAAACTTGGGCGGTATTGCAATGTTTTAAAGAGAAATTAAGAGCAGACGAAATTGCAGGACTGAACGCTATCTTTAACGACCGCTATCTTTAATTCTAATGAATGTGAGAGGATAGTGTGTGGATTAAACATCTTCGCCTTTTTTTTGAACATTTTTGCTCCGTGCGATTTTAGGACATTTCTGTTCGTTTCAAGGTCATGAAATGAGAGCCATATATTTTCCGGCCCGACCTAACTCAGTCAATAAGCAATTTATCATACGACTACTGACTAAGTTTTGAAAAAATTCGAAAAGTTTGTTTTCACTTAAATAGGACGCGATAGACTGGCGCGCGCGGGAAAACCACACAAAAAAAACTTTTCCTTTATCGTCGAATATGATAAAAAACAAGAACGAGCCCTAAGAGCAAGGTAAAAACCCCAGTCTGACACATTCGAAGAACATGCAGGACCTGCCAGTCTGCCTACACCACACAACAGACGTTTAAACCAGCCTTTACTTTCACCCTAATTCTAAGTTGGAATTTGATGACGATCATCCCTGATGCACTTCTTTTGGTTCTTATGGTTCGTTTTGTTTTCCAATTTGTGCTTTTAAATCATCGAGATTTTGCCCCGTCAAAGCATGAACAGAAGACAGGAGAAAAATATCAGCAGAAAGATCAATTGATAAGCTAAAGAAATGACACACGATGTTGGTTAATCGAGTTCAATTTCTGGTTGAGCCTTGAGCCTCAAACGTGTTATGAGGGTTTTTTCCAATAAAAACTGAGGAAGGAAATTCACCCCACACATCATCGATGACAAGCAAGTCAATTTTTTTTAGTGATACAGGTACACTGTTTACTCAGAAGAAGAAATCTGATAGGTATCTTACAAGGAAGTAAGATTTATGGAAAAGTGATTCTCGTATTCAGAAGCGTCCCTTTACTTCGATTAAAGTCAAAGAAACCCTAATGACTTTGTTTAGGGAAGCCAAGGAAATGGAAAAAAACATTAATTAGGAGAAAAGTATCGTTTAGTCATGGAACTTTTTGAAAGAAAAATTTCGACAAAGAGGGGCATACTTCGTCGGCGAACTGAACGAGATGAAAGGAACTATTTAAATAATATTAATAATGATGATCCACCAAAGATAGCTACACCAAAAGGTGCATGTAAAATTGTTCTCGCTCGATTTATCTATCATATTCATGCACTCATGGCCAGGCAGAAAAATACGAATTCGAAGGTAAGGTCTCGTTTTTTAATTTGAATCTAATTCCATTTGTGATCGAAGGAACTCAAGAACATATGAAAATGTCGTGTGCATGTTCGGAGTTTATTGCATTTCACTTTTTATTAATTGAGTTCCGGCTTTTATGTTCCCTCAACCATTTTTTATAAAAGGACAGCTGAAAATTCCAAGTGACCACAGAAAGCTCCATTTTACTTTGTTTAACAAGCTGGAACAAACAAAATCACTTCTACTTCATGTTTGTACATTCAAAAGATAAGGGAGATGGATTAATTGAAAGGCAGTATTGACTGGCAGCGAAATTTCCGAAAATTCGATACCAATTCTTAAGATGGATAAATGTATGTTATTATTATTGAGTAACGTATCAACGAAATTGTCTCTTGCCTGGTCTGCAGTTAACATTCGTGTGAAAAGCCATCGGTTTTTACAACCTACAAGTGGTAGAAGCCGGCAAGGCAGGATTCGTGGACTCGTCGTCTTAAGGTCAACAATCACTCAGTTAAAAGTTGCTTCCACTCCTCGTTTTAATGATTAATGATATTTCATTTTCTCTGCGAATTAAAATCCACACCAGCCTCCAGTCTCAGAGGATCAAAACTTTGGAGGCTACAATTTTCAGCTTTGAAAGACAAAGAAAGCATGGATGATAACCAATAAATAAAAGAACATACAGAGTAAATAAGCTTGGTACCGGGATTATTGTCAGTAACCATTTTCAAAAAATGAAGACAAATAAGAATAAAGACTTGAAGTTTATAATATCCAATTTATGTTAGTCTTTTCCTGTTCTTGAAAAGTATCAAGTGCCTTTTTTCTTTAGTTGAACGATTTGACTAATTAAAAGAGGACTGTGACTCAAGGCGTTGACAATGGTGTCAATAAAGGTGATTCGCTTGCCACGGGATACTACAAATTAATTGAATTTTGCTCTCAAGCTGTGCTGAGATTTATACACAAAGATTTCTTGTTTACTGAGGTTATACTAGAGAAAAAAAACACTACTTTGAGGAAAATGTTTCCCAAAGAGCCCATGTGAGACGGTATCAGCGACAAAAAACTAACCCACCCGAGTACAAATTTAACATGTTATCTTTGATAAAAATAAAATGTTGTATAATTGCAAATAAGGGAAACGTTCTTAGTGTTTATCGTCTTGAGGTAAATTTAGCATCTTGTATCATGAAATTCTCTAAACACAACTAAAACAGATGATTTGACCGAAAGTGAAAGAAAGTGAAGCCGGTTGTTAAAATCAGCTAAAATTCACTTTCAAGTGCAGGCAAAAATTCCAAAAGGAGCACATTGCAAGGATAAATCCTTTTTATTTCCAAATGAGCTCATTGTAGGTTCAGAAACAAACAAAGAGTTGGTCGAAATTTAGAAAACAATCTGCATTCTAATTCTTAAAACTTAATTCAAGTGGTTTTGGAAATAAACATTTCTGGCCGAACAGAAATGACATCCCGTTTGCTCTATTTCTTTTCTTCATCATTTACTCGTTAAATTTAAAAAGTTCGGTGAGCTATTTTCCTCCGCTGGAAATCTGGGGGAGTTTCTTTAAAAACCTCACTAATTTATATAATAATTTTATTCATAACAAGCCGCTCCCTATCTCGGCAGGGGTCAACAGATTTCATTTATTAAGTTGGTCTTAAAATAAAAGTTGAAATTCGTATTGCATAAAATGCATGGGAAAATTGAAAATACTTCTACTCTGTTTAAAAATATGTTGATTCGAATAGTTCTTTATCCCTATTTCTGTGGTCATGCATACTGACAAAAAATGATTAACCAGAGATAGGAAGTTCATCATTAGAATGTAAAGTAACCGAAGCTAAAAATTGTGAGGTTTTGGATGTTTACTCTGCAATCTTAACTTGGCCCTGGAGCAATTCTGTTCGCATTCACATTCTGGCATTGAATTAACGCTCTAAATGTGTCTCGAAATTCAGAATTCATAGATGCATAAATAACAGGATTCAGTGCTGAGTTTAGCGTAGCGAAAATTACTCCTCCCGCGTAAATATACGAGTTCACAGCATTTTTCATGGCGATGTCAACAATCATGATAATATACAGAGGAGCCCACGAAATTATGAACGCGCCAAGAACGAGCGCTACCATTTTAGCAGCCTTCATCTCCTTAATCATATTTAGTTTGAGTTCGGTTTGGTTGCGAAGAACGCTGTTAATAGCTGCTGCAATCCTTACTTCGTGAAGGTAAGCAGTCTGAAAGATTTTGAGATACGCTACCAGTACGAAGATGGAAGGAAGAAATCCTACGACACAAACTGTAATGATATAACCAGGCGCAAGATTCAGTGGAACTTGACAAAAAAGCCCCGAGCCTGGCTTAGGTTTCACAACAGTACGCCAACCCATGAAAGGTATGAATCCAAAAACTGTCGAAAAAATCCATACAAAGGCGATGATTGGTACTATAACCCTTTTCGTCATAATTGATTTGTAGCGTAAAGGAACCACCACGGCCAAGAAGCGATCGAAGGTCACTGCACCGAGATTTGCCACCGAGTTAAACATAAGCATTATGGCTACAGAGATAGTAACATGACAGTAATCCAACCCGTTTTGTACAGCAGGGCCTAGAGTGTTTGAGACCACAATAAGTGGCATTAACACCAGACCTATGATGAGATCACAAACCGCGAGACTTGTGATGAACGCGCTTGTCTTACTCTGAAGTCTTCTGTTGGAAATAACTGAAGCAATCACCAGAGAATTTCCGGCTACAATTATAGCGGCCAGAATTAAAACCACGGAGCAAAGGAGTATCACATGTAATTCCGCTTTCTTTTCGTCCCAAGATTTGTGGTTATGTTCTGTATCGTTGCCCATAGTATTATCCTGTGTCGAATTTCATGGACTGTTGCTTCAGGTTCTGTACTTTGCGCTGTAAGTTTGATTTGTTGAAAGAACCGCGTATATTCAAATTAGGGCCTCTGTGTTGTAGAAGTGCGTTTAAATGTGATCCGACAGCTGGGTAAATACAACACTCTTATCTCCTGAGAGTCTTTCTCACTTTTGCATCTGTCAGGGTGTCGGCTGGAGTTTTCGTAGTCAACTTAACATAATTTCTTGGACTTTTTTATGCCAATTGATGGAAAGTCCTCTTGTGAAGTTGGACGAGCCGGAGTGGATAGAATCAAATGGAATTTTCCTTTCTGTTCTTATGAAGACAAAAATGACAATTAGAGACTATTTGAGAAGTTATCAGTCACCTGTCATCCTTTTTCTTCAAGTCTTTTTTGTTCTCTTGTGTGAAACACTTTGCCGCTTCCTTTTGTGATTGACTTTTGTCAGTTCTAGAAAGACGGACGAATTCTGAACTCGGTGTAAGGTACAAGCGACATAAAATAACTCACAGAATATTTTCATCCGCGAAGAATGAATGGAAAATAAAGTGCATCATAAGAAGTATATGCAGATCGTTAATTGCCGTTTCTTGGCCGCACGTTTATAGTGTCACTTTACGAATTGTCTCCTGTGTCGAAAAATGATTGAAATAAAAGCAGTTTGGTCGATGATTTTGTAGTATTTGCATATTGTCTTCATGTGTTCGAGTTGATCGAAAAACAAAAATTTTGTTGTGTAAAACTTTGCTCTCCAGAGATATTTAGATTTTTTTGTGACTTTGTTGTCAAATGCAAGGATTTCACCGCTGTTTTCATTATCTTGCGCGAGCTTTTTCAGGATGATATTCTTTTTAACGTAAAATTTCTGCTATTGATTTTGTTGATAACATATCAGGGTTTTAAATCCCTTATTTATGAGTCAGAACGTATATTTTGCGCAATCCATCAGCCAGTAGAAGAAGCACTTTAAATCAGAGCTTCTCATTGGCTCGAAGGAGGCTCTTATAGATTATACTTTTAGAGAATTATAGTATTTTGCATGCGAGTTCAACTGCGCCTTTAACACTTTAGATCATGCATACAAGCTTGGTTAACAACGCATTATGCGATTGCAGATCTGCCCTTGACCTCAGATACTTAAGAAGAACATAGCGTTTGACAGTTCTCACGTTTTTGGCGTGGTTTACACACGTAGACCTTGTATAGAGTGAAAAAAAGCTACTTGTGAAATATGATATTAGAAATGTGTATAAACATACATATCCTCAACCCAAGGCGTATTCGAATCGAGTTTGATGAGCGATCTTAACGGTTTCGAGTTACGCAGTCTCTCAACCACGCTGTTTTAAAATAGAGATCTAGTTCTTTCTTTCTTTTGGCTGAAAAATATTTTGGGATTAAAGTTCAACTCGTTGCCATCCAGCATAAAAATTAAAATTTTCACTACGTAAATCACATTATTTAAACACACGCATCTGCTTTTTTCGCTTTTTCGTTTTCTTCAAAATGGGGTATATATTCAGCCAATTTAGTAGGTTTTTAGAATAAGACAGTTTCATTTTTCACGCTGATTTTAATGAAAACCCACGCGCCTTTTACTCACCTTACGGCCTCAAAATACTGTTCGTCCTGAGTTCGTTAACACAGACACGTACTGCTGCAAAACAAAGTGAAGATGTTTAATAATGTAAGTTCCTTACATAGTCATCTCAAGTTTATTTTGTATCATTTTGCAGTTCCTAATGAGGTGATTTTAATTTCAATGCAGTGTTCCAACAGTGACACTGGCAATTGTTGTTTTATTCCAACAGTGAAAGGCTTAGAATTTGACAAAAAGTAAGAAAATAATTTCAGCGGAAATGAACTTCCTTCTTCCTATTTTCATTTTACCCTTAATGCAACTACCGACAAGAAATAATAATCATGCAGTTAATTTAACTGTCATAACTATGTTATTAAATACACGTTTTTAGCTCATATATTATGTCAGTACCACATTATTTTTCATTGCTCACTTGCATGGAGAATGTATGCTGCCATACATGCGCGCATCCGGCATTTGGTCGACTTGCACGCGCCAGGCTAATGCGCGTGAGAAGACACGCGTGATAATCGTCAGGGGGGAAGCTTTCTTTTTATTGTTCAATTCCACTGACAATGCTTTAGATTGATTAGTTTGACAGAGGTTTTCTGAAGGGGATCAGGAACAACACGATTTTTACGCTATCCAAGAATTACTATTGTGGCCTCAAACTGGAAACAAGACCACGAAAGCTTACAATATCAACTATGAGCCCCAGAAAAAACAAAACAATATAGTAACAATAGTTATTTTTAAAATAAAATTACTTGAGAGTCATTGTATTTTTCATTATGAACTTTGAAACTTAAAGGACAACGCTTTTTCACGGAATCGTTCAGTTATTTATTTCTATTTCCGGTCTAATAAATATGATTTATGTACAACCCCAGAACACAAAAACTTATCATGCTTTACCCAAATTTCAATAAATGAAATTATTTTCACCGGGAAACTGACATGTGTATGTTAGCTTAGAGCTTTTTAATTTCCCCTGATTATTCATTTAAATTACAAAAACAAAAAAATTATAATGAGAATCGGCAAATTTTAAACAAGGCGACTTCTGCAAATGTGAGACATAATGTAAGGCATCTTACTTGGTGGTGGGATGATAAGTGGTGTAACTTTAAAGATTATGGTATTGTTTTCGTGACAGTTACAGGCAAAACACATTTACATTTCGTTGCTAGAAATTTAAAAACATCATGTACTAAATGTATTGCCATATCAGGACATCTGTTTCCAAAGACCATTTTTGACATAGAGAGTCTATCATTGGAAATGTTTGGTGACTTATTGAGATGGTTAGAAATTTCTGAGTTTGATAAATAATTACGCTACTAATTTATTCTTTTAACGCATTATTATCATGCAAATCGCACAGAAAGTGGTCAAGAGATATATTACACTTTTATTATTTGCATCACAAAAACTTGAGTATGAATGCTACAATTTATCTATGGAACCCTAACCCAAAGCCCCTACCCTAACCCAAACCCAGGAATTTTTCCCTTGGTTCTTGAGATAAATGAAGAGTCACTTAACAACTGGAAGTTGTAGTTACGTAACGCACACTTAAAATGTGGTGGGTGGCCCATAGTTTTGCTTACAGAATATTTAAAAGGAGAACCTCATGGCTTTTTACAGCTCGTCAGACATAGATGGTGACTGCGCGTGTATGTCCTGATCGAGGTGAGAGATACATTTTGGATGGGGATTAATTAATAGATAGCTGAATTTTGAGGAAGAATTAGTTGAAACACTGAATAACAATAGCCAGACATAGCACGACACGAAACTGAATACAAAATATTTTTTACGGAGAAAAATACGTTTGCGGTATCACATTTTTCTAAACGGTTCTGAAAAAAAAAAAAATAAATGAATAAATACGAAGTTAATCTGTGCATAATCTGTGGGTATAATTCATTGTACTTTTATCTCATACGTTCCGATCAACTTTGAGAACTCTACATGATTTAAGTGAAATGCAGATCCTTACCTCAATAAAGTTCTTGCTTTTACAAGTTGCGTGCAAGTTTTGTTAGATGGTTTCATTTTGCGATTCAGATAGAATCCATATAGCCTTATGGTACTGACTCATGCAAAGCTTTCTTACCATAAGTGGAACAGAATCTGTAGCATGCTAGCTAGGTTTGATACGAGGAAATTGAGCGAATCTTTTACGTCGCGAAATGATATTCACTTGTAATTGACATACATGTTTACTTCTACAAGACCATGACAGCATTGCTTTATCTGATTGGCTAGTTTGATTTGGAAAATTATACCTAGTCTAAGAAGGGCTAAGTCAGAAAACAGCGAAGACTACTTGTTTAATAGTTACATTATACTATATTACACTACTTGTTTAATAGTTGCCTTATATTGTCTGGCGTGTGAAGCTGATATTAATGACGTGTTCAGCCATGTAATTTTAAAAACCAAACTTCAAGGCGTGTTGTAATTAATTTTTTTCCGCAAACTTGTGAGGCATTGATTAGCATAGAGCGAAAAAGACTTTGGCTTTGAGTATCTTACAGACAAACAAGGCAGTAATGGCGCCAGTGTTACCCTAAGCTCAGAGCATTAGGACTACTTCTATATGTTAATGATATTGTTAAAGAAAGCGCTTCATATTCCCCAAAACGCACAATCTTTCTGAGAATTGAAAGAGAATCAACAGTTTTAGAGTAAAAAATATTCGTTCATTACTCGATAAAATTTTCTTGCAAATTTTCTTCAACAAATACGTGTGACGTCATATCCCACTGGCTTTTAATTTGACGCCATATATTGATTATCAAGTGAGTGTAATGTATGATGAAAATCTTTCGTGGTCGACTTTTGCGTTGGCAAGAAAATGAAAAAAATTCGCAAACATGTATCAAATTACATTTGATCACGAATTAAAGGCTGATGTCGTAGAGTTATTGACCATTTTCAACATTTACGTTCGTCAAAATCATCTGAACTAACCAATTCAGCACATTTTTGCGATAACAATGTCGAGAATAGTGTTTACGAGTCAAAAATTGACAACTTAAAACCTTTTCAGTTGTTAAGCTTAAGTTATGCTAGAGGCATTTCGTGATAGACATCTCGCAAAAAACCACTAGACAAAAATAGAAACCCCTATACATTGTAATATCCCCTTTCCTCATTTCTTAAGATCATATTTCTGAGCTCTTTAGTTTGACTTCGTTAAAGAGTGATATGTTATTGGTAGCGTGTCATTCGACCTCAAACCAAACTAAACATGTATTAAAGTTCACAAAGTAACCAGGTGGACAATCAGACATGATTTGATGCTACTCTGGTTTAAATATTTAATGAATGTAACTGAGAAGTTACAATTCACAGACCCAACGTGACGACACTCCTGTCTAGTGCCTTTATGAAGGCATCAGACGGGAGTGTCGAAACGTTGGGTCTATGAATTGTAACTTCTCGGTTACATCATAGTTCATTAAATCTTTAAAACAGAGTAGCGTCAAACCATGTCTAACCTACACATACATCACATTATCAAAACTGCTTTTGCAAATTTTGTTTCAGCAATATCATGTATCTTTTGTTGTAATGATTCGCTTGGTATATGCTCCAAATTTTCGCAGAAGTCTATTCCAAGGTTAACAACCTAGTTACTTTAGCGACATGGACAACTGGACTTACTTTTTGCCGAAGACAATGGCAGAGGAATGAACCGCTTCTATTTTTAAAACATATATAGAATCTTATCTGTGAAACAGCTGCAGCGAAGCTGTTGTTAATATGGAGATCAGAAGGGAATGAGAGACAAAACAATGATAAAAAAAGAGACAATGTGTATATGCATATTTATTAATGTAATTTTCATACTGTCTCAATTAGCTACTGGTATAAAATTACGCCGAATTTTCTGCTGAAACAAATATACCCAGAATTAAAATTGTTCTAGGTAAATATTTTTATGCAGATATGTGGTCCGAAAGGCAGTATTACTGTTGTCATGGCATGTTCACCACTAGCATAAGAAGTCTGTATCACTGGCTTTTATTCATTTCAAAGTTGGTCGCAAAGGTAATATAAATACAGCTGTTTTTTTCAGTTATTGAATGGGATATTACAAAGCATTCAATGAAATAAGGGCACAAGAAGTTTCAATTTATTACGGGAAGCTTTTTTGAGTATTCACACATTCTACATAAACACATCATTTCCTCGCTAGAACATACATTTGTTTATTACTCCCTGTAGGAAATAAAACCAATATGCAATTATGTCTGCATATAAAGAGAGGGTGAATTGAATGTGAAGGAGAGATGACTTTCAGTCCTGTGTAAGGAGATCCCTGTGCGGTGAATTTACAACATGTTTTTTTCTCGAGAAATTTTCAAGTACCTGAATTCTAAGGCCTGGTCTCTTCCCATTTTCACATTTTTCTTCTTACGGTGTTGCCAGACGACACAAAGTAATTAAAAGGGATTTCCTTAACCTACCCCCACCCCCTCCGTCAGTTTCCTTAGCCACACTGACTAGTATCAGCAGAGGTTAGTAAGATTAGTGTTTCTACAACAATGTGATTATCGTATTGCCAACTTTCCGAATATGACCAAATTTTGAATTTTTTTTATATCTTGCAAACAAAATAATTAATACTCTGGATTCATCACTTTTTTATCGGCCGCTAAAACTGAGGAGGAAAGCTCCCGCCGTGTTGACAGGAACAGTTAAGAGATTGAGCACTAGCTATTTGTGACGTGGACCCGGTATCTTAGGAAAGCGAAAGCTAGCATTCAAAGTGAAATCATGCCAGGTCGGTACGTTGTAGGTGGATGTCTGTCGCTCCCAGACGTAAAAAACGGTATTATTATTCCAACGGGAATCACGAATTCGAAAATCTTATTCAAATCGATTGAGAAAAGTTAAGAAAATAGGCCAACATTTTTTTGATATCAGTCAGAGCGCAAACTCTTTTAATCTAACTTTGGGTTTTTCAGTGTTTCTCTAAAAGTTCTCCAACAATTGTTGGCCTTTTAAAAAAACTCAAGTGGAAATTGTAGTCAACAAAGATCCTCGGGCTGATATCAGTTGAGTTTCCTCAATTATTTGTTTGACTGAAACCTTTAATAAAGTATTCAGTGTTCTCCCTTACTTTAACGACCCTCTACACTGTTATCGTTTATATCTCTCACTCTGTTCGCCTTCTTGGAGTACATCTTAAACACTGTGATAAACAAAACTGCAATAAGTTCTAATAACTCCACAATAGTTAACACTGAAATCCCGATCCACATTCCCATCAGACCACCAATATCAGACAGAAAACTTGGCATCTGTTGGAAAATAATGATATTATTTGCATTAGATGCAGTCAAACTTACCTTCATACAAGATAAAATTAATGGATATAACGTGCAAATAAAAGGCAAATGCAAAAAATTCTCAAAACTGAAGCAAAGGCGAAGGTAATAGCCGAAAGAAGAAAAAAGAAAAGTAAAAAAAAAAACAATCTTAAAAAGCATTGCCATGGCTACTGTGTCGACAACGATAGAGTAAGATATACAGTGCCTGCGATCCAAAACCCAGCAGCACGAATTACAAAAGAAGTAAAGAAAATGAGATGGAAGGGACATTGACTGATTAGTATCTTTTTCAATTAAGTGAAGTCAGCCTGTTTACTCATGCCTGCACGCCTGCACCTGTTAGGACTCAGTTTGCAGATCCGTTTATCCGTCTCTTGACAGTTATGAGAAAGAGTTATGCCTTGTGGTGAACAAGGAGAATAATCATAAATTTGTCTACATACCGTGTAAGCTTCTTCCTCTTCAATGACTTCAAAATCAAGTTCTCCATAGTAGATCTTCAGCTTCAGAAAGTGATCACTGCAGAAGAACATAAAGACTCAGTGAGCAGAGTTTCACTTTGCTAACCCAGCGTACTTAAGCTTGTGTCCAACTTTATTTTCAGGCCAAGCCAGAATATGTGAGCTCTCATTCCCTTGTCAAACCGGATCAATATCAGTATCTGGGCAACTGCCCACCTACCCTTCCCCTAACTCAACAACAGTCAATTGACAACAAGTTAAGGTTAATGTTGGGTTAGGGGAGGGGTAGGTGGGCAGTTGCCCAGATACTTATATTTATCCGTCAAACCAATGACTTAGGTATCGATCTCTCTTCGCCCAGTACTACTCCAAGGGAACAAATCCTGATCACTTCTAACGACGAGAAATGTGTATTTACCTTGTCTCTCCTGAGTGATTGCGATGCTGTTCTTCATTTATTTTTGCAATAAGAGTGTCCTACACGTGAAAGAAACATATCACTGACAAAAATTTCTGATGGTGTGTGAATTAAATTTAATTTGAGATGTTACAGCGTCGAAGAAAATCAACTAAAAATCCAATTCTACTTACACGATATTGTATTGACGGCCATTTTGCAAGGGATACTGTTGTCTTGAATATGTCTTCCCTGGAAAAGAAAGCAGTCAAATGATTACAGTTGGTATGCATTGACAACACGAGCATGATAAAATGCGTAGAAGTGGTAAGACCAGTGCCATATAACATTACCTGCACCTTTCTTGGCATTTGGAACAATTTCCATTGTCAAAGCTCTTGTAAACCTTGTTAATACATTTGACTGAAAATTAGAAATAGAAAGATAAATTCCATGCTAAGGTGAGTTCATCATACGCAGCTCGCGATGTGTTGTGTTTGGCTAGAGCTTTTATTTTTCGTTGTTTTTATATTATGACAAAATCTCTCCTTTGCAACAAGCAGAGCATGGAACCTAAGAGATACCGCATACCTATTTTTGTGTTTTCCATGTAACAAACAGACATGTTATTGTATTTCAGCTCATAGATGACACAACCACAGTTGGATGTCATCGCTTGGACCAAACAAGATATCTTGCAAGCCTGAAAACAGAACACAACTCTTTCTTGAGATATCAGTCATTGCAACACCATGGATCGAGTCTTTATGAAACCTTCTCAGAATACAAAACGTAAGCAAGATCGATTACAACGAACATGACGGCGGACTCTGCTGTAAATCCAATGAGATTTGAAACTAATTACGTGATATAAATAAGAATCTCACAGTGGTAGTATAAGTCACATTATATCGTCCAAATATGCTTTCCTGGAATCGATCGTTTCTGCTCTCACAGCTTTTGTTACGGAATGGATCGAGTCTTTTAATCATCACCTACAAAAAAAAACCACAGCTGCAGAATTCTACCACATATCGGCCAATAATTGCTCAGTACCTGTGAGATAACTGGAAGTTGACTACCTTTTCACTGAAACATGTTCTAACCTAAGTTTTACTTCGTTGTGGATTTCATTGTTTTTTATTCGCATTTTTGTTTAGGTTTGGTAACAGTTGAAAGGATTTTGACCGCTTTATGGCAACGTTAGAATTAATTTCCTTCATCCATGGGAAAGGTAGAAAAGTTATACAAATGAATTCGTCGTCATTGGGTACTAACACCACATAGAATTTATTGATTTACCCTTGGGAATTAATACTACACATCTCACCGCGATTTGCCTTTGAAAGCACTTCTATCCTCAATGACATACACGCTCTTGACTGAGATGTTGCGAAAAAGACATTGTAGTTCAGTATCTTACCTTACGAAGCTGAATGGCTGTAGAATATCCAGGAGACGCACTTATTCCTTGTTCATAAGGAAAAGGCATCTCTTCCTGTCCTCCAATGGAAACTCGGACGCCAGACTCTTGGGAAAGTTGACTTATATACTGATCTTGTTCGATGTCTATCTCCAGGGTCAAACCTGACAGAGAATACACATGATGTAAATCATTTCTTCGGCACTAATCCTCCTCCCACTGTTCGTCATCTTCTTTTATCAAAGAAATGAATTTACTATGAAAAGATTTTAAATTTAGATGAGGCAAAGTTCTATGTATGCATCGAGTGCAAGTAAATGAGGTATACTTCGGTACTGACCTATGCCGGTCTGTGCTGATGTCATTAGAGGTGTATATGTCCCATTCTTGTCCATTCCTTTGTTGAAGGAATAACAATTTCCATAACGTGTGTGCCAGAACTGTGTCCAGTATTTGCGCATGTCTGCATGTTTGTCCCTTAAACCAGAAACACATGTAACGAAAATTGTACCATCTAGGTTTCCCGCATAACTCGTAATGAGCCAGCTTTACCAATTCGAGGACTGGACTACAATTGTGAGATTAACAACTACTGGGTATTCGACACGGTTTTCAAGGGGACATAAACATTAGTAATGGTATATTTTGCATTAATTATTTAGAGCATAAAGGGTGTAAGTTTTCAAAGAAACTGTGGTGTTGCGTCGGTGGGAGGTTATAGTTAATTATAATTTATAATTAGTAATTCAGTGTTAACAACTGAGTCGAAAACGTAAATTGGCCACCGAAAAGAGTAGAAAGACTGACGTTTTGAGGGTTAGCCCTTCATCAATCTCTGTGAAGATCTGGCATAATTTGGCACTCGTTGAATTCACCCGTGAATCAGATTTAGAACCGTCACCAAAAATGTGCTGGGAGGCCGATATTTTGGACATTGATCATCATTCATAGTGGTAGGAGGCCCTCATTCAACTTACAGACATTCACGTCCATGAAACTTGCAGCTGAGTATCATGTCTTCTATTTGATGGCCATACTTCATAAGCTTCTCTTCCGGTCTATCAGCCAACTTTTGCAGAACACTTTGAATGATTTTCTCTTCCTCCGGAAGTTCAGAATAGTTAGGCACCGTATTTCCTTCACTGGAATCAAAGGATGTCTTGTTTATAGCTGATGAAGAATTTTTTTTGATGATTCCTTTAACAAAATGATGTACAAACATTTGTATTTAGTATGGAGATAAAAATCATATCTACCTCACACGGCCTTTATGTGAAACGATATGCATTATGTTTAATTAATTAATAGAAACTCACGCTCAGGATATAACGCTGAAAACCATAGTAATAAGCTACTGTCAATTATAGTACGAGAGACGAAAAAGACAAGTGGCCAGGTTAAGCTAAATTAAAAAAGACCTATGGCATTATTTTAACATTGAGCTGAGCCTTACGTCCGTCCAATATCTGAGGAAACTCTGTCACAATATCCACTGGAATATGTGATCGACGAATCATGTTTAAATTGCAAATGGTGACTTGGGGAAACGTGAGTTTCTAGAGAAGAAAAATTTCAGCGCATACGGTCAGTACTAATCTTATCAAATCTAGAAGGTGTCCAATGTTAGTGACGTATTGGTATTGGCTTTTAATAAATATGAAGAAGAAAAAAAAAACTAAACGACAACAATAACAAGTAGGGGCCCAAACTAATACTAAGGCCTCTCTCTTGTTTGGTTGTCCATGCTAAGAGGTCTGAAAGGGGTTGGCGAGAGACTGCATATTTGGCGAGTGCCTCTAGGTTACGTAACAGCTCAAAATAGCGTTTCACATTACAGGGAGAGCTTAGGGACTGGGCTGAAGTAATGATATTTCCATTATGGCGGCTAGTTGTGATTTTTTGTGGTACAACTACGGATGTACAAAAAAATACAGTTGATGTTCATGAGATAAGACGTAAATGGATGAAGAACTCAGTTTACAAAACAGATTCTTTGTCTCCATGAAAATAAAAATCACTTTGTTTATGAATAAACATGACATGTTTTTACCTCCTCGTGTCCAATGCTTGCTCTAACTTTTAGAGGCCTTGACATGTATTGTTTTGTTATACCACAGAGCTGCTGAAAAAAAGCTGCGACTGCGGCTGCACAAACCAAAATCCAGAACCACCTTAAAGGTCGGGAATCTGCGTTAGCCACTCGTCCATAGCCGTGTGCGGTTGTGTCACCGAAACACGCCAGCAGTTTTGCTTTTAACTTGAAAAGTAAAGCCTTTTTTTGACTCGGTTTGCTCGGAAATGAGGACATTTCTGTTGTTTGGTTTTTATATCATCTCATCCAGTTCTATATCTCTAAAGATGAGAAATATCAATCTGGAACTATAAATAAATAAATAAATAAATTAACAACCTGAGCAGGTTTAATTTATAATGGAAAATTTTGTGACTTATTGGAAAATGTAATGTTTTAATGTCATTATTCACAGAAAAAATTACGGGTTGAGTGGTAGAAAGAAATTAAACTTTTCCTATTAGTATAACAAATTAATTTAACAGGGACACACCGCACGACTTTTTCCCTCTCTTTTGGTGTAGATAAGGTAGAGTGTTTAACAAAAGAAAAAACTGGATTTTTAGAAGGGATACTTGTTATGGTGTGCGCTGATTGTGGCGATCTCCTTCCCTCAGAAACGTTCAACTGACTGAAAAACGTTATGAGTTTTCTAATATTTCATCGAGACTTATTATTGGCTGTTCCTGTCCATCGGAAGGATCAGTTTACCGCAGTTCTATCTTTATCTGGGATTAGCCTTATATCATACCCATTAAGCTTTCGTGTAATGAATTAGATATGATACCAAGCAATTCAGGGTTGCTTTTGCATTTGGAGATAACATTTATGCACTATTCAGTTAAGATTCTCGAAAAGATTGATATCTCTTAAGCAAATATCGAGTTCTAGCCCAACGAAACTCCGACATCTTGAGTGCTCTCAACATTTACCACATTCATATTTTAAAAGCTCGATACACGCAAGCTATGGGCATAAACAGGAGTCCATTGCGTAATGGACTCCCGTCATAAAGCCAGGTATTCTTACACATAAGAATAATTTGTTGCAAAAAGCGCTTTTCTATGTCGGCAAATACAAAGTACTTACATCGCACGGCAAAAAAGATTGACTTGAGAAAAATATGCTATTCTAGTCTCAGTCTTAGGATGGTAAGCTTAGCAAGTGGATTGCGCGAACTTCAATTTGCGATTATTGGCTGGCTTTGAACTAACTAACCATGGAACTTAATTGAAGATGCGCGTCTATCGCTGTAGATACTTCAGACCAGTAACTCTTTCCCATGATTAAATTCTTATCGAGAATCACTTAAAAAATGGATTACTGTTAGGAAATAGTTGTAAATAATTTTGTTTCACTAAGCCATAAGTAGCTTTCAAGGTTTAACCAGAACATTCCTTATACATGTAATGAGGTTGAAAGAGAGAAATTTCATTATAAGGAGAGTGATATATGAGAGTTCCATAGTGATCCTTATGAAATGCAGTTCAGGCAATCAACCATAAAAGTTTTCAACCGCGAATTCACTGTAATTGGTTACCCGCTTAACAAAAAGCATTTTTTGAATTATTTAAATGGATTAGTGATCAGTTTCTAACATAAGAATTACGTTCATAACTTACTGAAGTTGCGCTGTTTTGCTGCGACGCATTTACTTTTCCTTCATTCTCAGAGGTGGAAAATAGATAACACGCCAGTCTGCCAAAGAAAATTCTAGCAGCGTACGTGCAGCTGCTTTTTTGTACTTGTTTTGAGAAGTACTTGGAAATATCCTGGAGTTACTGTATATCAACTTGAACTTTACAAGTCAACGAGTTGGGGAAACCCAAACAATAATTTAAAAGATGGAAAACGCTAAAATATAGAAAAATGGCAGAGTAGAACCTAACTCGTTGTGGATATATCAGCGATTTTTAACGATGAAGTCAGTTATTCTGCAACGTCAGGTACAAACATTCACTTAAGTTTTCTCATTCGTTAATGCAGTTGATCATAAAGCTGTACATACGTACCACAATATTTTCTTAATTTTTTTTAGAAGATGTGAGTTATCTTAAAATTTCATAAAATCGTTCTTTATAACTGTGAGCAATGTCTAAAAATTACCTGTTTAATAAGTGCTGGGCAGCAATTTTGAATTAAAGATACGTTAAAAAAATGCCCGTATAAGACGAATCTGTATGTTTGGATTACAACACAACTTCAGTACTTATCGCTTTCTATTCTAATGAATCCTTCCGGCAGTTTAGAAAAAATAGAAGTTTGAGCAAGTTTTTTTGTTTATCTGCGGCAGAAGCTATCAATAAACGACATAATCGATTTCATTTTCGCTTGGTTAAATCATGAAGTAAATCAGTAATCTAAAAGAGTTTTCATTAATCAGAAATATTTGTAAAAATGTTCTTCAAACTTACCGTTGCTAATATTCTGTTTCCTCCAAAATCAATTTAAGTGGAAAGTTGACGAGACGGGAGGGATTCAAATTAATAATTTACATCTGAAAATGTTCTTGTAAAATGTACTTGCGTGGATTATTTTTGTTATGGCTGTATTCAGAGGTTCATAATCACTTTTGAGTCATGCTGCGCTCAAAAATAGACACACAGATAGTTTTGGGTTCTCAAGTCTTATTTATTGATTGAACTGTAACTTACAATGTTAATTAAAAATTTTTTTTTATTCCGTTGAAGTTCGAATATATCAAGCTATGGTCGTCAAATATCAGGAAATTTCGGGGTTGATATTTTACTGAAGTACGTCACATGAGCTATTCTATGATTGTTTTGTACTTTCTTGTTTGTAGCTTATATCGACATCCCGTGGAGAACCCATATTTATTACTGGGGACAATTCGCGAAGAAATTTTATAATTCCAACGATCCACTCTGCTTAAGTTTTAAAATATTCAGGCAAGATGTCATGAAAGCAAAAAAAAAAAAACAAACAAACAAAAAAAAAGACAAAAGAAAAAAAAGAAGCTTAGTTACCATGAAACAGAGACATATAACCAACAATAACATGGTGCCTTATTTGTACAGATTTCGTCTCAATGTATTTATATTTTAGTGTGAATTTTCTGCATTAAATTTGATTTCCTATGCGGAATTATCATTCGGCTGCACTTCAATCACATCAGTCCGTTTCTGTTTGAATTTTCTCAGGATCATAGAACACAGGGAAGCCATCAGCTCTAGAGCTTCCACACACGTCAGAGCGGAGATTCCAATCCACATTCCCATAATGCCTCCGATATCTGACAGGAATCTGGCTGACTGTTGAAGACAGCAATTTAAAACGAATAAAGTTTGGCCTTCCAAGGTATTTACCAGAAAATTATATACATGGACTAAAAAAAAGCGGCTTCATCATCTCCACGTTGTCATTTAATCAAGATCATCGATTTTATCTCATCCGTTTCTGATTATATGCACACGAAAACGCACTGGCAGTATTTTTCATATATGCGAAGTGGAACACGCCCCAATCATCTCCATTTTTTCCAAAATTTTTGATTTGTGAGCCAACCAGAACAAAATTGACTTTTTCTGGCTTTTACAAGGACAACAAAGATTTGAGTTACAGTTCCTCTATTACTTTAAGGACCTCTGTCTATTTCAAGTTGTTAACCCTTGATGCGAGTGCTTAGTTTAAAATCAAACGTCCTGAATAAATAAAAACACAAAATTTTTTCTGTTGTATACTCACTGTGTAAGCAAGCTCTTCTGCAATTACTTCATAGTTTAGTTCTCCGTAATAAATTTTCAACCTCAAGAAATTGTCACTGATAAAGAGAGATTATTGGAAAGATACCATCAGAGCAAATCTACGGTCACGTCTTATGGTGGAAGTAGCTCATTTTAATTCCTGCCTAAACTTTCCCCAGTCTTCCAGAGAGTAAGAATAATGCTTCCCCACCCCTCCCCCTCCTTGGTTGGAATGTCAGTTCATCTGGGGTTATCCTTAGCATTTGCAAGGGTTTCTCTGGCAGTTTGCAGGTACGCATTTACACTCCTGGATAGAGAAGGGCCAAGAGTTTCGCATCTGAATACACCATAATGACACACCTATGGCATGGTTCTTCTGACGGCCAGGCCTCCACGACCCTCACTGGCGGTCATTTTAAAGGACAGAAAAATTTTGCTGATGATCAATTTTCTCTCTAAAAGATTTGCTGGTTACCTAAAAGTTTTACAAACTTAACCATACCTTAGGTCAGTGGAATAATTCTTAAGATCTTTCTCGTCTAGTGACCTCACAAGTATATTCTAAATATATTTTGTAAAAAACATAGAAAAAATACATTATTGAATGTCTATTCTCGATAACATGGTAGCATGTGCTGCCATGTTCCACCATGTTTGGTTAAGTTTATCATGTAAATTTACTCGATATTGGAACAGAAGCCCTTCGTTGAATCAATCATTGTGTGGAAACTCCTGTCTGCTCATGTAATTTTAACTTGGCTCTTTAATAAGCGTTATGTGTAATACCTCAAAATGCCGAGAAGGCCATTTTGAAAGAGATAATGTCGTCTTAAAGAGGTCCTCCCTTGAAAAAATAAAATAGAGGTTATCATATAAGAGATGAAAAAGAAGCTGGCGTGACCAGAGAAGAAAAGCTAAAATACATCAAAGATGAAGATCGATAGAAAAGTTTACTGAGTGGCTGAACCATTGCTCAACCTGGGAGACTGGGGCTTGGTTTCAATGATGTTTGCCTCTCGACTATTTGTCAAATTAGCGACAACTGAACGACACTTCCATGAATCGATCAAGATCAACACTTTTTTAAACGGAGTCTGGAAAAAGAAGAAATGAACAGAAAATAGGAGTTCATGGTAACGAACTTTACGCTGGTCTTGAGTAAACTGTTTGCTGTATAAACTGTGAGATGGACGAACTTTAGAGAGAATAATTGCATGGGGTGAATAAAATGTTCTTTACTGAGCGGTTTGTTTGCCACGTTTAGCCATGATAACAATCTATTTTGGGTTTGCTTACCAGCATTTTTCTTGACAACCTTTCTCACATGCTCCTTGGTGGTATTTATCAAATGCAGAGTTAACACAAGCAACTGAAATTTAAAAAAGGATCACCGTTGTCACAGTTTGGCTCAAACCAGCAGTGCGAACTCTGTAAAGAGCTAGTGGTAGGGTGGCTCACCGAATGCAATTCAGTGTGTGGTAAAAATTTCCAAAACTCCTTCATTACGCTGGTTAAAATATCAATCAACTCATT